ACACCTTTCACAATAGCAACCAAAAAAATGAAATATTTAGGAATTAGTGTCACAAAAGAAGTGAAAGACCTATACAGGGAAGATTATAGTTCACTGAAAAAAAGAAATTGAAGAGGATTTCAGAAAGTGGAAAGACATCCCTTGCTCATGGATAGGAAGAATAAATATTGTGAAAATGGCCATTCTCCCAAAACTCTTATACAGATTCAATGGAATTCCAATAAAAAATAACATCAACATACCTTGTAGATCTCGAGAAATCACTCCTAAAATTCATCTGGAGCAAGAAGAGACCTAGAATTGCAAAGGCAAGGCAGGAGGCATCACAATCTCTGACTTGAAGTTATATTACAAAGCTACACACTGAACCACCTTATCTTTGATAAAGGGGCCAAACGTGTTCACTGGAAGAATGACAGTCTCTTTAATAAATGGTATTGGAAAAACCAACTCTCCGTATGCCACAAATTAAAACTAGACCCATGCCTATCACCATGTACTAAATTAAAATCTAAATGGATCAAAGATCTGAATATTAAAACAGAAACACTGAATCTATTGGAAGACAAATTGGGTAAAAGCCTTGAAGACATATGGGTAAGTAGAGAATTCATGAACAGGACTCAAACCACACAGGAAATACTTTCCAGAATCAATAACTGGGGTCACCTCTTATTAAAAAGTGTCTTCATGTCAAAAGAAATCTCCAGCATAGTGAAAAGAAAACCCACAAACTGGGAAAAAATCTTAGTGAACTGTCCCTCAGACAAAGGACTTCTGTCTAAAACAGATAAAGAATTGAAAAAAATCAGACCCCCAGAATTCAAAGATCTAATCCAAAAATGGGCATCTGAGATGAATACACACTTCTCAGATGAAGAAATACAAATGACAAATAAATACATGAAAAAATGTTCATCATCATTACTCATTAGAGAAATGCAAATTAAAACCACACTGAGATTCCATCTCACTCCTGAAAGAATGGCCAAGATCAAGAAAACCATCAACAACAAATGCTGGAGAGGCTGTGGGGGAAAAGGAACTCTCCTGTACTTTTGGTGGGAGTGTAGACTAATGCAACCATTGTGGAAGTCAGTCTGAAGATTTTTCAAAAAGCTGGAATTGGAAGTCCTATTGTTCCAGCTATTCCACTCCTAGGCATATTCCCCGAAGAACTGAAAGCATCATACCACAGTGTTATATGTGCACCAATGTTTATAGCAGCACAATTTCTAATAGCTAATCTTGGAAACAACCTAAGTGTCCATCAACTGAGGAATGGATAAAAAATTTGTGGTATTTTTATACAATGGAGTACTACTCAGCTATAAAGAATGATCACATTGAGATATTTATAAATGGGCACAGCTTGAGACCATACTTATAAGCGAAACAAATCAATCACATGTATAAATACCGAATAGTTTCTCTAGTGTAAGAAATGGTAAGAATATATAAAAGTATGTGGTAAACATGATTTCCCATTATATTGCTTTGAAGCCTTATAATGTTTTCATTCATTAATTGGAATGGTTTTATTCTGGGTTGTTTGATTTTATTTTCTGTGATGGTATGAACAGTTATTTTGAAGAAAACAAGACAATATAATAGCTAGTGCTGACTTAATATCATCTTGTTTTGAATTCCCACCAAGCTTTTGTTCTTCTGTCTGTATTGGTTTATCATGTTGTATTTTACTGGATTTTATATGTGATACTATAAACAAAATTTTTTATGACAAGAAGATAATATAGAAACCATTGTTCCTTTTCTGTTAGTTGGTTCTATATTAATACCCTATAATACTTTTATTCTCGTGAATGGTTTTACACTGTCATGTTGTGTTTGCTGCTATAAATATATGAAGTTATACTCAAATATTTCAAGGAAGGAGACACTATGGTAGCTACTGTTATGTCAGGTTATCTTGTGGTGAAACACTATGTTGCTTAAATTGTTTTCTTCTGTCCTGTTATTATGTTGTTATGTCCTCCTTCATCCTAATCTCCTTCTTTTTAAATAATTTTTTAATAAAAAAATAAGAAACTTCTCCATTTTGGTAATCCCAGTTAGAGTCCTGTTCATGCACCGCAGCAGGCCCAGGATCATTCTCAATAGTATTTCCTTTGTGTCTATGATTGCCTTCCTCTTGAGCTGCTTGCTGTAGTTGAGCCCACTCTTGTGAGCTGAGGGTGGTGTTCAGAGTCACATAAACATCCTTGAAATAACAATTAGTTACAAATTCAAACTGTCTAATGTAATTTTATGAGTTAACAGAAAAGGAATCTAATTTATGGTTGATCTGAGATAGGTTGGCAAGGGAAAAAGGAACATGAATACAAACTATTCCCTCTGGACCAGCCTGTTCCCAAAGGGGAAATAAGAATTGAGGCTGAAAAGGTTGAGGAGTGGGAGGTATAGATGGTCCCTCAGCAGCCAACCACCTAGAAGGCATCTGTGGGCAATTACAGAGTGATTGACCATAAATGGCCACTCATCACTGCAACAGGGAAGTACAAGATTGTAACTGGTTATCATGAGTTCCACAACAAGATGACTGCTGCTGGTTATATAGTGAGGGAGCATAAGATGGTGATGGTCATCATATAACCTGCAACAAGATGGCTGCTGCTGAACACATGATGAGGGACTGCAAGATGGCAGCCATTTACCCTGTCTCTCTCACAAGGTGGTGACAGACTGTCACATAGTGGAGGACTGCAAGATTGTAGCTGTCTTCCATGTGAGCTGCAGCAAGATAGCTGCTGAGGACCACATGGCATGGGACCACAGATGGCAGTAGAACACCACGTGGCCTACTAGGTAGCTGAAACGCAAGAAACTGAGTATGGTGAGCCAGGGAGGAGAATGGCGATGGGAGTAGAGGGGATAGAGGAAGTGGGGCCATCCAATGGGATAGGTAGCTCAGGTTGAGGGGATTAAGGAGTCTGCGATTGATTGGAGAGAGGAAGTAAACAATTAGAGACTGCAGGGGGTGAGGAAAGGGGAGAGGATGAAGCAGGGGTGAGGAAACTTCTATTAAGAAGATCAAAGGATTTGGGCTTGGCGATATGGAGGAGAGGCAATAAAGACAGGAGGCGCATCGTCTAAGGAGTCTGGTGGGGAGAAAGGGAGAGATCTTGGTGGAGTAGAGTGGCCAGAAGTACTTGGGCTGCCGTACATGACTGAATGAGAGAAGAACACATCCTCAAAGTGAAATAGGCCTGGACATAAGTGATTTCTACCAACTTGCCACCACTTGTGACAAAAGTTACATAAATCTTGAAGGATAAAGGGGTCAAATGTGCCCCCTTTAGGCCATGGGCGGCTATCCAGCTGGTAAGTTTTTGGGTTTTATGGCCTTTCTGAGGCCAAGAACCCCAGAGGTGTATTTTTTGGGGGACAGGGAATGGTATTTCCCATAGTGACCAAATTAAAGGTGAGCCCAGAGAACAACTCTGCCTCAAAATGTAAGAGCGTTAGCCCTGCCCAAGGTGTGTGAGAGCTGTCCTGGGTCACACTGATCAAAAAACATCATCACCTGTTTTGAGAGTGTAACACGGAAGTTCCCAACACCTTCTCATCAGCTGTCACTGAGTGTGCAGAGGTGGGTAGTCCCAGAGGACAGGAAGGTAACAGTTCTGCTTTGGGCTGTCTTGCTCAAGGAATGTGAGAGCTGCTATCTTTGTCCAGAGATGTCAACAGATTTTCTGAAGTGAGCTTACGAATTTCTAAAGCTGAGAACGGCTCTGCCTTGGTTACCCAAAGAGCGTGAGAGCTGTTATAGACTGAGAAATTGAGACAGAAAACCCCAGACAGAATGATAGCTCACCTATAACAAATGAGATGTATCTTTGTTGGATGCAGGCTAACAACAGCAAATAGGCAGGTCTTGGAGGAACAAAGGGTGCCTTGTAGGCAGGGGAGCTCAAAACTGGGGGTGACTCCCAGGAGCTAATGCACTCTGACAATTCCTGGGTTTTGGCACCAAAATGTTAGGGTTTTCTGGTGCAATAGAGAAGAAAAGGAAAGAGAAAGTGGCCTTTATTGTGGGCCTGTCAGAGAGGCCCACAACTCGTGGAGATTTGGCTTTCTCCTCTGACCAGATACAGAGGGAGCAGAGAGTTATATGACCTCTGATCAGAAGTGCTACATGGGATGGGCATTGGTGATGTGCAAGGAACTGGTTGGAATTTTCTTTGTGCACTCGGGAAAGGAAGTTGCAATCAAGACCGAAAGGGAAGGAGGAGGAAGTAGTCATGAGGGTGAGTGTTTTTGCTTTGGCCTTCTACCATGTTAGACCAGTGCCATAATTACAGTAATCTATCCTAGGGCAAGAACTTTCACTTTCCTTTTTTCTTTTTAGAAGATAATAGTAATGGAAGGACAAGAGTTCTAAACTGAACATTTTACCAGTTAATGTTTTTGTTATTTAGGGTGTTTTATTGTTTTTCTTTTTATTGTAAAAAACCTTTATCAGGAAAAATTTACTTGTATACAAAAAAAGTAGTTTCTTTGGTTTCTGTTGCTTCAAGATTACAAACATTACCAGTTTAGGGACAGCATTCTTGCCCAGCCTGTGTGAGACCTTGATCACCAGCAATGAAAAAGAAAAAAAAAAAATTAGTGGTTTGTTGTCCCCAAGCGGTGCATGAGATGCTTATAATAGACCTTTTTACATATACCCCTCCCTTAAAAGATTGAATAAAAAATAGACTAGTAAAATAGTGATCTGTGAAAGCTCTTTGATTTTAGTTAGAAAATGTGATTTATAGCTATTTTCCTACTCCCATGAATTCTATCACCTCCATTATGACTGAATATCAACCATGTTTTCTTGCTGTGACTCTTTAATCTACGTTTAATTCCCCGCTTATATCTGAATAGTCATTTTTTTGCTGTGGATAACATGTGTATAGCATGATTAATTTTATACAACTCAATTTCACATAATGACTTTTTTCTGTGATTTTGTACCCTCCTTGCATTTCTTACAGAAGTCCTGGAGGGGATTTGGGAGCCAAAAAGAAAAAGAAGAAACAGAAGAGAAAAAAAGAGAAGCCAAATTCTGGAGGCACAAAGTCTGACTCTGCATCTGATTCCCAGGAGATTAAAATTCATCAGCCTTCAAAAGTAAGAGCCCTGTAGTTCCTCACAGACACACGAGTAGGTTTGGGCTAGCTGATATGTGTTAGCCTTCTATCATGATTGTGGTGTGGCTCTAATACTCAGCCTGTTGTGGCAGCCACAGGACTGGGAGGTGCATATTGCCTGTTTGTGCGTGTAAGCACGTGTGTGTATGTATGTGTCTGTCCTTCCTACATTTCCCTCAGCTTAGTGCTTTAGTATAGTTATGAAAGAAAGTCTCCCTCTGAGCTTGTTAGGTTTTTGTTTTTTGATGTTATACTTAATATTTATTTGATGACTTATATACAGTTCAGAAGATATTCACACATTTTAATTTTTCTGGGTGTCTGTCTAATTACCGGCATAGCACAACGCCATCTGGCAGCAGATTTCAGCAGGAGCAGCCACAGGTAAGTTTCATGTTGACTGTGAATCAGAACAGTCTTCAGTGACCATTTCTCATTCTGTCACCAAGGGAGGGGACATCTCACACTCTCCCCGAAGAAACACCCATCCTAGACTAAATCAGACTATCCAGCTGAGCCCTGTTTCTGGTTGTTTGTGGGGTGTAGCTGCCTGGCAGAGAAGATGACAGCCACCACTGTCTGTGGGACTGATTGATCCCTTTCGTGCTGGCGGAGGACACTGCGCTTGGATGCTGGCCCCTGGGAAACACAACCCAGAACGAAAAGAAAGGGGCAGAATTAAAAGGGCAGTGGATCTGATAGCATTCTGGCTACAAAAAAAAAAAAGGCAGTGGAGTAAAGATGATTTTAAATTATCTTTCAATTTTTTGCAGTACTTGAGATTGAACCTAGGACCCTGCTCATGATAGGTGATTGCAGATCCAGATTAGTTTTCCTAGGTTATGTCTGGTGTTACAGAAATGGCCAAGACTTTGAGGTTGGCCCTGGTTCCTTTACTATATATGCCTGTGCCTGAGGTAGCTCCTTAAACCCATTTGTAAAGTCTGCTTCTCCCCAGTTTGTGGACTATCATGAAATTAAAGAGAGGTCATATTAAAGAGTTTCGTATTACAAAGCACTGTCTGCATGGTACATATTACCATTATGCAAGTTTTGTAGGCTTAAATATTTTTTCTTATGGAAATGTACATTAGATCATATTGAATAAGTCTTGAGGGTGGTTTGTTTTTACAATTAGTTGTTTGAAAGGAGTAGGCTTTACTGAGAAGAAAAACTACTCACCCCAGTTTTGCTCTGCCTGAATTTGCAGGGAGAAATAAGGTGGAATTTTTCTCCCTAGCTTTTCAGTGGTTCTCAGGTAACCCATGCTCTGCTCACTAAACATAATTTCCAAGGACCCAGAGGAGCCCACCACAGGCCTACAAACCACTCTTCTCATTTCTCAGTGTCACTTTGTTGGGTCCTCATGGCATCACATACCTGCAGGGGTAGGCTTCTTTCTCATTCCTGCTTCTGCCACTGCCATCAACTCCTACCCATCCTCTGTGCCTAGGGATGTGCAGCCCTGCCTTCATGGCTAGTCACTGATGAGAAACTAAAACCAGCAAAAGCAGAAGCACTGCCAGCATTGTGGGTAGAGAGGGGTCTTTTGTTTTTTAAACTAGGAACAAGTCAACAGTGTTTTCATGTGGGCTTTTCTCCAGTGTATTTTCTGAAAACTAGGCCTTTTCCCCTTAAATGTAGGCCAGCTAGTCCATATTACTCCATAATTTATAGTGGACCATAGTTAGAGAATATTCTGGTCATTCTTTTTTTCCCAGTACTAAGGTTTGAACCCAGGGAGTACTGTGCAATATTGCAGCCCTTGTTTATTTTAGTAAGGTCTTGCAGAGTTGCTCAGGCTGGCCTTTAACTTGTGAGCTCCCTACCTCATCCTCCCCAGTAACTAGACTTACAGGTATGCATTGCCACACTTGGCTGGCTGAATTTATACAGACTTTTCTTTTCTGTTCAGTGGTACTGGGGATTGAACCCCGGCCTCAGGCAGGCTATGCAGGTGCTCTACCACAGAGCTACATCCCTAACTCCTTTTTATATACTTTTTAGTGGTAGAAAACTTGGATGTTTTTTTCAAGGAATTAAATTTGCAAAATAATGGGTGAAGTGCCAGGCATGGTAGTGTATAGCCTGTAATCCCAGCACTTAGGAGACTGAGGCAGGAGGATCACAAGTTCAAGGACAGCCTTGATTACAGAGTGAGTTTAAGGCCACTCTGAACTACATAGCAGGACCCTATCTCCCGCATACACCCCCCCCAAAAGTGAAGAGTAGAGTCAATATTTAGTATTCAATAAGGAACAAACAAGAAAAGAGGAACACTGTACTACCTCTTACATAGGAATAGAATGGTAGGCAGTTAACTGATACACACCTGACCTTTCTCCCCCACTGGGGCTGCTATGGAAGTTAAATGGATAGGTTTAAGAATTCCTCGTAAGGCTGGTAGTGTAGCAGTTTTAGAGTACTTACCTAGTGTGTTCAAGGCTCTGAGTTTGATTCCTAGCATCGCAAAAGGGTAAGGTGTTAAAAAGAATTTATCACTGCTGCGTTTTCCTTAGTTCTTTGTCACCATATGTTGGAAATAGTGCTTAGCTGAACCTACTTGCAGAAATCATTTAAGTAGTGAGCATTAGAATATGAGTGTTTCACCAATGGTCATTTCACATTGAGAGGACCTAATGTGAGTCAGACTAATGATGGAAGGTAGGTAGGATATAAACCCCTCTAGGGGCTTTCTCTTGGAGCTGGAGTTTCACTAGTGTCTGGAACAAAGAGGCTGATCCATGTTTCCTGCAAAACAGAAGCCAGAAGATCAAATCGACTCCCAGGAAAATAAAATTACCATGACAAATTCACTGTAGACCTTGTAGATATATTTTTATGAGCCTGACCCTTCCTTTGCCTTTTTAAGCTAAACTGAAATGCTCAACTTTTTTTTTTCTGTTTTGTTTTGAGACAAAGTTTCACTATGAAGTTCAGGCTGGCCTTAAACTCACTTTGTAGTCCAGGCTGAGTTTGAACTCACAGCAATCCTCCTGCCTCAGCCTCCCAAGTGCTGGGATTACAAGTGTGTACCACCACTCCCAGCTTCAAATATTAATTGAACTGTGCTGTGATTTCAGTTCCTATTGAACTTATAAGATCTCTTAATAGATTATGTTGTAGAGAGACCAAATGGATATGAATTTTATTTTCCTAGAAATCAGCCACTTACAATGTTGAAGGCTCAAAAGAGACTCAAGCAAAAGAAATAATCTAAAGGTACAATGTATTAGGACAGGAATAGTATTTTGTTAAATATATATGTATCATTAAGATGCCATCCTTCTGATACTGATCTCAATCAGTACGTAAGGTAAACAATTCGCAAAATTCTGGTAATCATGATATGCCATCAGACTTCTGGGTAGAGTCATGAAACTTTTAACTTGCCCCTAGTTAGACTTCAGGAGTTTGTATACTGAGTCACTTCAATATCAAGAACCCTAACAAAACCTACGGAATAAAGCAACCACTGGACAATCTGTGTTCAGTAAACCCTGTTTTGTGTTACATCAAATGGTTAAGCTTCCCAGGTTAAAATAGTTTGTTCCAGGCCACAGATTTTAGATTCGAAGTCGAGCACAATTCCAGAATCACTGTTTAGTAGCCACCAGAATGGCAATTGTACCTTTCCCTCATGTTCTTATGTGTTGACTTACAGTAGAACCAAAGGCTTCTGAAATTTTTTTCTAAAAACTTTCAAATTGCAGTGAAGAATATTTTTTGAATGGTATCAAAAATTCTAAAACTTTATCTGGGTGTTGTGGCACATACCTATTATCCCAGTACTGTGAAAAACTGAGGCAGGAGGGTTGTGAGTTCAAGTCCAGTCTAAGCAACCTAGTGAGATTCTGTCAAAACATAAAAGGGGTGAGGGCTAGGGATATAGCTCTATATATAAGACCCCAAGCTCAATTCCTATTACTGGGGGAAAAAATAAAACACTCTAAAACTTCTTATTTTGCATATTAAAAAGTCACTGATTTCCATATTCAGTCCTGTTCACTGCTATCTTAAATTATTTGAGAAATTCATAAAAAAGCTAGGGAAAATCTTCAAAGAGGTGAAAGGAATATTGACTTTGAGAAGAAAACTTTAAAATGTAAAGGTATTTTGTATTTTATAGATTGAGACTATGTTTAGGTGCTAAGAGTCAGGATTGACAGAGGAGCTACTTGCCACCTTTTCTTGGAGGCTCTGTCCCCATGAGCACTAGTTAGGAAAGGGCTGGTTGTGGTTTGTGAGGAAAGGAGGGGCTTGGTGAGAGCTTCCTTCCATACCCTTCTCCTCACAGCCCAGCGCTAAGTTCAGATTTCTTTTTCTTCCTTTTTTCTCCTTCTTTTAATGAACAAAGCTTCTGTCTGCCTCATTTGTTCCCCATCACAGCCACTGAGCATGCACCCTAACAGTGCTCTTGAGACTGGTGGCTGCTGGCTGCTGTGTGACAGAAATGCACGCCCTGCATGTGTCTCCTGTTGGCTTCCCTTCACTGAGCAGCACTGGTGGGGCCATTGCAGATGGGTTGGACCTGAAGCTAGTGTGCTTCAATTTACTGTAGATTTCCCAAGCCCAGGGCCTGTTCAGGTATATAACTGTTACCTGTAATAATGTGTTTGCTTCTCTCCTCATACATTACCATCCTGGAGCCATGGCGTAGAGCAAGCCTCAAGGAAGCTGGGCAGTGTTTAGGGATTATAGGCTTGAGTCATGTCCTGTGTGTCTGTGTCTTCACTTTTGCAGAATGCGACCATCCCCATGCAGAAGCTGCAGGATATCCAGAGAGCAGTGGAGCTGCTGTCAGCATGCCAGGGCCCGGCCAGGAACATTGATGAGGCAGCCAAACGCAGATACCAGTTTTGGGACACACAGCCAGTACCCAAACTAAGTAAGTGCTTCTGTGTGTTTGTTTGTTTCTAAAACAAGATAGGATAGATTGACAATTTTAAAAAAAACCAAGGGAGACTTTATTTCACTTATATTATTTGTGTCTTATCATAGATTAAAAATTGCACAAAGTTCATATTAGTCTTCTTGAAATAAATGTTAGGTAATGACATTGGATTTCACTAACAATGATTTTAGTCAACTGCTATTCCTGTTACAATATCCTATTTCTTTACTCTTGAATTGTGATACTAAATTACATATCATATATAAAGTCTATACACATGCACATGCTCACTCACACATGATTCTTCTCTGACGCTTCCGTTTTACCTTTGAGCTTCATGATGTTTCTCTTAGTTACTTTCGCATTGCTGGGACAAAATACCTGACACACCCACAAATCAAGGAGGAAAAGATTTGTTTTACCTTACAGTTTATAGAGGTGTCAGTCCATAGTTGGCTGGCTTCAAGGCAAAGTGGCATAGCAGTGGAGAAGCGGTCCATGGCAGGGCAGGCAGGGGCAGTAAGCAGCAGCCTCCCTATTCCTTTTATCCTATCCAGGCTACAAACCTATTGGTTGGTGCCACCTCACCCAGGGTAGATCCTCCCATTGTTCATACCCAGAACTGTGGTAAACCAATTTAGTTATCACATACCCTTAATCCCAATATCACACATCCTAGATCCAGCCACCTCCCACAAGTCCCACTTATGAGGTCATAAGGCTTTGGGACAACATCTAGATATGTCATAACAGAGTTCTTCTTACATGTGAACTTTTGTCATTTTCACTCTGTAGTTATTCCAAAGTATTCTGAAGATGTGTGTGCTAATAATTACTGAAATAAACAGTTTCACACCATTTAACAAAAGGTTTCTGAACACTCATCATGGTGTTGATAGCATCAGCCCAGCACTGTTTGGCATCACAAGAGCAGGATTCAAAGACTGTGTATGACTTTAGTCCATCACAGGATACTTCTTCCTTGGCATTGTGCCACTCTGTGGTACGCTTACTTAGACTCTTACCAGATCAGTTTCCAGAATCCTAATTTACACAAAAATAGATGATGGCATGATGTCATAAAAATATTTAAAATGCATTACAACAGAAGTCTCCTACTTTGTCTTACGTGTGTATGAAGATCCTATATAACTATTTCTGCTTTTTTATTTCTTGATTATTTGGGATTTGGATTAGTATTACATAAAAGGTTAATTGCTACCTGAAACTCTAAATAGCCTAGCTACCTACAAATAATTCATTTTTGTTAAATATAAATTGCTGAGCAATCCTTCTCTATGCTTTCAGATATTCTTGAACTTTTGAAACCATAGCTCCTTTCCTATCCATACTTACTCCAGTGTTTTAAAAGGAGCAAACTTCTGACTGGGTGGAAAGGAGAAAGAAGGACTAGGTATAGCTCAGCAGCAGGGCACTTCCCTAGCATGAGTAAAGTCCTAGGTTCCGTTCCAAGCAGTGCAAAGAAAGAAAGAAAAAATGCATCTTTGCTTGCGTTTTAGTTCAGGTTGTAGAAATAGTTTAATAACAAATGAAGATTCTTTAGCATAAATTTACAGGATTCTGAGTAGCTCTGAATCAGATAACCATTACCTAAGAAAATCTAGATTTATTGATCTAAATCTGTTGGGTTTGTCTGAATGCTGTAACTAAGCTTCTGGCCCATCTCTTGGAAAAACCACTTCTAGCCAGTACTGAACCGCAGAATACCCCTTTGGAAAGTAATTCATTTTACTTTGCTCCTCTCCTTAAGTCCTTACTTGATTCTTCACTTTCTAGAATTTTTAGTGTACATCACTGTTCAGTCAGAGGCCCTGACAGAAGAGGGAAACCAGACTGATAGGGAAAGAGTGAGCCTAACACTGGGGGCAACACTTAGAAATCAAGGAGTCTTTGCCTCACCGTTTCTGTCTATCCAGGAGGTGTCCCAGTTCAGTCCAAATACACTGTGCTCTTCCATTACTAACTGGAATGGGACTGTTCCAAAGATAATAGTTAAGAGCCAAGGATTAAGAAGTGGTCACAAGGGACTCTGTATGGGAGAGACTGGGAATTTGGCCATTTGGGCTGGCTAGAAGTCAGAGAAGATGAAGTAGGTCAGTTTTTCATCACTGTGACCAAAATATAGTACTTGATAATAACAGCTTATAGGAGGTATTATGATTTGTGTCTGGATGTCCCCTCAAAGTGTCATGTAGTCATGGAAGGGGGCTTTTGAGAGGTAACTCAATCTAGAGTTTATGATTGATTCATGGTCTAATGCTACGATTATGGGCCTGAATGGTATCCACCCTAGGATAGGTAGCCTGCATATACTATAAAGGATAGAGGATTCTTGTCTCTCTCCCTCTTCCTCTCTTCTTGCTTTTGCTATCTTCTGCCACCATGAGTTCATCTTCTGTTACCCTTCTACCATGTGGCACCCTGCCTTGGAGCCCTGGACTGAAACCTCTACAAACTATGAGCTAAATAAAACCTTTCCTGCTTTAATTTTGGGTATCCAATATTTTGTGTCAGCAATGAGAAAAGTAACTAAGACAGGAGGAAAGCTTAATTTTGGCTCATGGTTTCACAGGATCAGTCCATAGTGTTGGCTTCAAAGCAGAAATATGGCAGATAGGCATGGTGAGGAAATAAAACTCATGTTTACTTACGGCAGCTAACACAGAGAGAGCAAGGAAGAGCTAGAGAAAAAGGTATACTCTTCAAAAGCACTCCCCAATGACCTACTTTCTCCAGATAGGCCCCACCTTCTAATAACACATTCAGCTATGAACTCATCAGTAGATTAACCCATTGATGAAGCTAGGTCTGTAATCTAATCCCTTTCTAAAAACTCCATCTCTGAACACATGAGCTTTTGGGGAATACAGTTTAGATCCAAACCATAACAGAAGAGTAACTAAGTTAGGGAATTAAATTGGAGGTATTGGAGCTGGTACAGACCCTGTTGCATAAAGCTCCATGATCAGAAGAACTGGGCACTAAGATCTTTCAGTCAGCAAGTGTTTGCTAAGACTCTGTTACTAAATACCCTAGGAACAGTAGTGGCATTAGAACAAGTGGTAGCCAGCCCAGAACTGGAGGGAGAACATACTTTAGGTAGGAAAAGCTTTACTCAGGGAAAGATGCTGTGAGAACGTAATAACTGCCCAGGGGCCATCCATGTGACAGCCAAGAGCAGGGCTTCAGCAGAGGGAAGGCACAATAAGGCCCTGAGCTGGGGAAAGCCTGAGAAAGGTCAGTGTGGCCAGAGGATGAGGGGCAAGGGTAGGGAGGGCACAAGAAGGGTGAGGCAGGTGACAGCCACAGGAAGAGCCAAGGTTTTTGTCAGCTATGTGGAAAGTTTTGCAAAGGAAATCACTAGAGACTTGGACCACACTTGGCTTTAACTACATTTCTAGCAGTACAGATGGAGAGAAATAGCTAGCCTTGAAATGAATTTTAGGTTTTGCTGCTCAGAGTAGTTAGAGGTTCCTGTCCCTGATTTGTGGAAATGCAATGTAAATTTTTTTCTTTGATGCTAAGGATTGAGCCCAGCACCTCAACTTCTACCAGATAAGTGCTTTACCACCAAGATTCAAAGGTGAACATCTCTGTGGCTGATGTACCAGCCCTGCATTGCTCCCAGTGATGCTGTATAGTCAATCTGCAGCCTGGGGTTAAGGCTGAGAGATCCCTATAACTTCACAGCATCACTTTTGTCACTGGGTGACACAGGATTCCCCTTTGATTGAACAAGTGAAATAGTCATTTGACATCACCACCTACTTTTCCTGTTTTAACTCAGAGGAAGCTTGAATAATAGCATATTTTAAAAGATTACATGAAACGCAAGTATCCTACATCTGATTATGTCTGCGTCACTGATCTTTTGAGATTGTCAGAATACTTTGTAATTTAATATCCTCTCCTTTTGTCTGTCTTTCCATCTCTATCTTCAGATGAAGTCATAACTTCTCATGGTGCAATTGAGCCAGACAAAGACAATGTACGTCAAGAACCGTATTCTTTGCCACAGGGTTTTATGTGGGATACTTTGGACTTGAGTAACGCGGAGGTGGTGAGTAAAATTCTTCCAGACAATACCTGCATTCACAAAAATTGTTTCTGACTTGATCCTGAGCACCATCAACTGGATACTTGTTTTTATCTTGTAGCTCAAGGAGTTATACACATTGCTAAATGAGAATTACGTAGAAGATGATGACAATATGTTCCGCTTCGACTATTCACCAGAGTTCCTATTGTGGTATATCTTGCTGGTCATGCAGACTGTCAAAAGGCCATCTGGCTGGGAGGTGTTGGGTCTTTTCTTGGGTCTTTTAGACACTAACTCTTGCTTGTTTTTCTTGTCTTCCCTGACTTTAGGGCTCTGCGTCCCCCAGGATGGCTCCTGCAGTGGCATTGTGGGGTCAGAGTATCTTCAAATAAAAAGCTAGTAGGATTCATAAGTGCCATCCCAGCCAACATACGAATTTATGACAGGTATGAATGAAGGCTTGTCCATGTCACTTCTGTGTATTTCTTTTCAAAGAACTGCATTTAAAAATTACTCAGTGCTGGCTGTTTGTTTGATGAACAGAGGCTATATGGGGACTCTGCTTAATTTTGCACTAAACCTAAAAACTCTAAAAATTAAATTATTAATTTTCAGGGCCAGGGATGTATCTCAGTGGCATAAGCACTTGCCTGGCAAGCGCAAAGTCCTCTGTTCAATTCCTGGTACAAAAAAAAAAAAAAAAATTTACTAGTTTTTTAAAAAGAAAAAGGACAGTTACCTCTGTCTGTGCTCCATCTGTCGTCCCTCTTTCTGCCCTCCCTTCCTGTTTCTCCTTCTCTTTATTTTTCTGGATTTCTGTTTATGACTGTCAATCTCATACATGAATACAAGTATACATTATGTATTTATGCGCACATGTACATGTAGTAAATATGTGTGTATCGGGAAGCTATAAATAGGCATTTCTGGTTTATTTCTGGGGAAAAATTACTTAGAATTTTAGAAGGAATGAAGGATTTATCTCTATTGTATAAGTGTGTTGCATTTTTACTCTAGATTTCCAGCTCAGAAAGTCTAAGATCCAGCTATGAAGATCAAAGCTCTAATGTATAATACATATGTATGCCACCCCATATGTTAGTCTAGTTTATTTGCTGATAAATGCATGTGATCTTGGAGAACGTTGTCTGTTAATCGAAAGACCTGCACACGTGGAGGTCTGGACATGGCTTTGAAGCTGTTCAGATGTTTATTGAAGCTCAGTGAGGTCTAGTCACAGACTCTCATATCGGTCCTCATGATCTGTGTCTTACTATAAAGCAGTATCACCACAATTACACATGTTACAAGGAAAACAAACTTTGAGGCACATTTGATCCAATTTTTAAAATGAGAACTTATAAAAAGATCAAAGTCTTAAAGTTTATTTAGAACAAAGACGTTTAGACCCCATGCCTAGAGTTATATTTGTTGTGGTGGGAGAATAATATAAACAGTGTTGCAGTGTGATTTTGTGAAATATTTTTCTTAAATATTGTGCAAAGATGCCTCCAACATTGTTAGTCCTTGACATATTATGAATAATGTCTTATTTTTTAAAATGTGCTCATCTCATCTCAGTTTTCAACATCTTTGTTTCTCAGTGTGAAGAGGATGGTAGAAATCAATTTTCTTTGTGTTCATAAGAAATTGAGATCCAAACGGGTAGCCCCAGTGTTAATTAGAGAAATAACCAGAAGAGTGAACTTGGAAGGAATTTTCCAAGCCGTGTACACTGCCGGAGTGGTCCTTCCTAAGCCTGTGGCCACATGCAGGTAATGGTAACTGCATCACTGTCTTGAATCTGCCTGTTGCCACACATATCGAGCACCACTACCTTCCTGTCAGAAATAGTGTTCTTCTTGGGCAGAGTAGGATAAATTTCGGTTGGCTGAGAATTATGTACTTTGTTAGTAGCAGAGATGGAGACCAGGGCCTGGAGTCATGGAGTCCAGAAGTGGCCCCAGTTCGTCATGCAATTTTTGTGACTAAATTAAGTTAACATTTTTCTGCTAATGGTGCTAGATATATATTTCTGTTTGTATTCTACTTAAAGACATGTTCTGTATACCTGAAGAAAATGTAGGGCATTGTGATCTTAAAATGTTCAGTGTCACACTTGTTCTTTCATCTGTAAACTCAGTTTTGTGCCATCCTTTGCAGCACCACTGATTTTTTCCAAAAATCTGATGAGCAGCAGCTGAAAAACCTCAGATATGCCTGTTTTCTCAAAGCAGGCTTAAGTTGTGTGTGTGGCTTCCTTAACTCCATCAGGCTTTTGAGGTTATTCCACTAGGAGAGTAATCAGACTGTCACTAGACTAACCTGATGTAAAATGTCAGAAAGAGCTATCTCCCTCCACTGTTTTTATTGCCTCAATAGGATGAAACTTCAAATAAACATAGTATGAGGTAAAATTACAAAATTACTATAGTCTGTTAAATTATTACATTCATAAATAAAGAAAAATATATATGTGTTAATATAAATCACTTATCCCATTGCTCAAATTGGAATCACTTAAGAAATTCAAACTAGTTTCTCAGAAAGATACTTTTGTTGGTTTTATACCCTACTAACCCAAAAACTACTTACTAAGGAAAATACTTTCATGTTCTTATATATTTTTGTTTTGCTCTTAGAAAATCACAATTATCATTAAATTCTTGCCTACCTATGCAGTATTAATATTTCTCTTGAAGTTTTATGGTTCCTCTATAGTGATAGAGACAAAAAGTCACAAGCTATAAAGTCATATAAATAGGAATATAAGACATTTCAGAGAAGAAAAATTGGCTGATAAAATTACTGCGGAGGAAGAGCAGCAGTGCTTACCACTGTGCTGGGTACAGCATAAGCACCGAATAAATTCTTCTGAACAGCGAAGATGAGACAGTGAACACATGTACAGGGAGAAACCAAGTGATTATTAAAACCTTTATTGTATTCCAGATACTGGCATCGATCCCTAAACCCCAGAAAATTGGTAGAAGTGAAGTTTTCTCACTTGAGTAGAAATATGACATTACAGAGAACAATGAAGCTTTACAGACTGCCGGATGTAAGTAAGAATGATCTGAAGTTTTTTAAAGCTATAACAACTAAATCTTTTAATGCAGAAAATAATTTTCTTGCAGAAGTCTAAAAACAGACTCATGGATTTAAGGAAGGGAATATATAGCTATAAAGACTGCACAGAGCTCAAGCTGGAAAGTGGAGGAGTTTTTGAAACACCATTTTGCTTTACTTTGGATTTTTTTATTTGTTTGTTTGTTTTTTAAAGACAGGGTCTTTCTATAGTTCAGTCTGGTCCTGAACTCACTGTGTAGCCCAGGCTGGCATCAAGCACACAGCAATCTTCCTGCCTCAGCCTTCCAAGTGCTGGGATTACAGACATGAGCCACCACACTTGACTTTTGTTTTTAAGATTCTTTAAATTATTCATCTTATGATGGATGAGATTGGAATAAGAAAAGGAGGTTTTGAAATTCTCAATATTGTCTATTAAAAGGGAAGGAAAGTTCAGGCTATAAGCAGTAAGGAATTGAAATTCAGAGAGAGGACTCAGGGAAAGGAAATAATGCCTCGTTAAATCACCATCTTTTAAAGCTCTCCTACTACTAATAAGAAAAGTTCTCCCTTTTAAGAGGGAAAAGCTTAAATGCGCTTCTATGAGCTTCACTTTATTTGTGGCTTGGATAGTGTATTATTTATCACAAGCTAAACACATTTATTCTTGCCCAGGTTCTGCAGGGCAGGGATCCAAGTGCCACTAGCAGGATCCCTTGCTTTGGGTGTAGTGTCTCTTATGAAACCACCATTAAGGTGATGTGGTCCAGGGCTTGGAGAAGAATCTGCTTCACACAGGTGTTGGCAGGAGTGACTTTCTGCTGGCTAGTGGACACCTACATTCTTCCCAGGCTACTAGAAGCTACCCTCAGTTCTTTGCCACATGGATTCTCTATTGGGCAGCTCACAGCATGGCAGTTGGCTCACCACAGCCACTGGGGACAGTCTGCAGAGATGGATCAACTCAAGAAAGTAACATTAGTCACTGCCGCCTTTTCTATTGGTTAGAAGCAAGCCACAAGCCCTATTCCTATTGGTTAGAAGCAAACTACAGCCCCACTTCCAACAGGAGCAAATCGCATAAGGCATGAACTACGGGAGGCAAGATCACTGGGGCTGGCTCCCCTGAAAGGATCTTCTGACCTGACTCAATCATATTTTTGTATGAGAATCAATTTCATGAATAACAAGTTTAATAATTGGTGGTAAATCACTGGTCAAGTGTCAGTTCTGAGACCCAACTTTCTTTCTTACCGTCAACCTGAGTTGCTGGGTTCCTTGTATAGGAACTATGTAATTGTAATGACTGTCCCCTCTACCCTGTAAAATAAAGCTTGTGATATTCTTTCATATATATTCAATTTGTTCTCACAGCTGCCTTTTGGAGTTAGCACTTCTTATTCCCGATATACAAGTGAGAAAACTGAAGCTTATGAAGGTCATCACCCAGGCATGGGTGGATTTCAGTGTCCTCAAGCACACCATTTCATTTCTGCCAGCACCTCTCACGACCCCAGCCCCCAGATGGTCCACAGCGTAGTCATTCTAGTGCAGCTTTGGGAAGAAAAGAAGAATTATCAAGGCCAGACAACTCTCTTTGGCATGTGCTAGCCTCCTTTACCCTTCAAAGACATAAGAAAGAAAAATGAAGAATGGTTAGTGGGAAAAAGCAAAGGAAAAGAAAGGAAGATATTAAAAACTTGGAAGGTACGGAAGTAGATGCCCAGGTATCTACTTGCTGAGTTAAAAACTGGACAACCCAGGATACAAGACCCCACCATCCCTCCTGTGAGCCCAGATGAGTGAAACCACTGCTAGCCATCAAGTCATTAGAGAGGAGTTTCCTACTATTTAGCATCAAAAATATGATTGAATATGACTTTTCTATATGCCTAAGTTTCATTTTTTAATTCTTACTGTTTCCACCTACAGTGCTTGCGTTATATCTTCCTCAAGGACTTCTCAACATAGGAGTTAACATTTATTGGGGCCTGCATTACACTGGACATTTAAAATCCATAGTCTCTGGTCTACTCTGTGTTTAGCTGCGTTGGATGATTGTTTTTCTTTAGCATGTTGCTGTTCCTTTTTAAGTCACATAAATAACCGTCAACAGTGCTTACTTCTCTGCTCTAGGATCTTGACTGTCACACACTTTGACAGTTGTGTCTTACTTAGTCTTTGAGCTATATTTCCTCATACAATTTAAGCAGATTTTTCAATTTCCAGAGTCCAACAAGTAATGGATATGAGTTAGGTCCTGGAAAGTATATTTGATTCATATTGTAATTTGATTATGAAACTTAAAATTTTCTCAGTTATGGGAAATGTTTCTTTGGTTTTCATTGAATTCTTGTAAATATAATGCTTCACTCTATTCAGTTACACAAAATGTTAGTTTTTTATTAAAGCTTAAGTCTTCCTACTTCTTCCTAAAGACAGTAGCTATAGTTTTTGACACATTTTAACATTCGTTTCATTCTTCCATAGTTTTTTGTTTGGATTTTTTGGGGGTGTTTTGTTTTGCTTTGTTTTTGAGCATTGTCTGCCAGAAAAAGTAACTTCCCACATTTAGGCCCTTTATTCTTTTTTATCTAATATAGCCTGATGTTCTTTTCTGATTTAGTGCTCCTTAGTGTTTATAAATTCTCAAGAAGTTATACTTTCTACTTTTACCCAAACACTTATTTCATACTGTCTCCCTCATCTAAATCCTACTATGTCTTTCTCACCTTCTGAAACATAAGATTGCAGTTCTTGAAATGTGGCCTAAGAATCCTTGAAAGTCTATAAGATATTTGAATCTGTGGAGTCAACAGTATTTCCACAAGAACACTAAAATATAATTTGCGTGTTTCACTTTCATCCCCTTAGGAGTGTACTGAACCGTCTTCCAGAGGCTGTAGAGAAGATGTCCTTATGTATTTTGTTTTTAAATGTTCTTAGTTTTTATTTCTAATACTAGAAGGATTGATAAGTAAACCTACATAAGCAAAGCTCTTTAGGATACTCAGTAATTATTAAGACTGTCAAGGGGTTAGGAGACTGAAACACTGAAGAATTCTTGCTGTAAGGATGTACACTGGGCGGCAGGTGTGGTGGTTTAGGCCTGTAATCACACGAATTTAAGGCAGGAAGATTACAGCTTCAAGCCCATTCTGTGTAATTGAGTGATGCAGCAAGAGTGATGTCTCAAAAACAAAAAGGGTATCACTGGGCTGGGCAAATGGTGTGTTTTAGTGATTTATCAGTATAAATATTTAGTGAATGAGATTTGTGCTCCAAAAAATATTTTCTCTAGAAAGAATTTGGCAGACTTTCTCATTTCTGAATGTTTGCTATTAACAGATATTAAATGTCCTGTTTTTATTAATTAATGTAACTGCTTGATGTTATTTCTGAACCAGAAACAAAAGAAAAAATGTTATTTAATCAGAAATCTGCCTCATTGTAGAAGATAATTGTGTGTGTGTGTGTATATATATATATATATATATAGTATATGTATATATATATATGCAGTATATGAATATACTTGTATATGTATAGATTACATATATATACTTGTATATGTGTATATTATGTGGTTTTGGTCATTTTACTAGCATTTAAAAACATTTATTTCAAACTGGGAACTATTTCTGACTCAGTTTTGAAAAGACTAAAAGTATTTTATGAATTACCTATGAAATGTTAAGGACTAATTCTCTAATGTAGATTAAATGGTATGTTAGCTGTGATACTGTATCTTTATATATCACACAATCATCATTGAAAGGCCCCTCAGTAAATCCATACCTGGACACTGTTGGATCTGTAAATATAAAGCATGCATCCCCCTCTGCCATACCTATCTTTACTCAGTTCTGTTAGATCTCCAAAGCTTTGAAACCTCAGCATAGCTACCGACAGTTGATCAGAACTGACACTCCAGATAAACACCAATTCCCCTCATGGACTTCTGTCTAGGGGCCCACCAGAATTATGATTTAATTCTACATAAAGTTTTTCAATATTTATAAATCATTAAGCACAGAAAAGGTACAGTAGAAATATTTCATGTTATTTATCTCCTAAAATGTATTCAGTATTTTTTCAAGGGGATAAAAATATCATTTACTGGAAAAGAAACACTATGGTTTTAATTTTTGGTTTGTTGGGCTTCCTCACATCTAGCCTGAAGTTTCCTGATGCTGGACAGATCTACAGAGCCAAAGTGATGTCAGGAGCTTTTTTGAAGACAAGCAGTTGGATGAATTCAAATGGGAACCTGTCCTGACCTGCAGGCTTTTTTATTCCTTGGCCTTTTTTAAAAATTATAAAACTCTGTGGTTTTATAACCACAGAGATTAAAATGCTTACCTTGAGCCAGGCATGGTGGCACATGCCTGTAATCCCAGCACTCAGGAGGCTGCAGCAGGAGGATTGGGCTACAAAGTCTGGGCTACAAAGTGAGTTCAAGGCCAGCCTGAACTGTGTAGTGACTCTGTCTCAAAGACAAAAAAAAGGCCCGGGGATTTAGCTCAGTGACATAAGCACTTACCTGGCAAGTGTAAGGTCATAGTTTGGTCCCTGGTATCAAAAAAAAAAAAAAAAAATCACTGTCTTGGTTACTTTTCTCTTTTTGCTAGACAAAATACCAATGTGCAAATGTCCACAATGAAGGAAGGAAAGGTTTATTTAGCTCACGGTTTGTGGAGGTTTCAGTCCATATGCAGCTTGTTCCAAAGCACAGTGGTGGTGTTGAGTGCAGCAGTTCATGGTACCAAAAAACAGCAGAAGCAACAAGAGCAAAAAGGGAGGAATGCAGAGAAAAGACTCTTTCTGTCCTTTTTATTGGATATAGGCTACCAACCCTAAAGTGGGTATTGTGCTTACACTCATAATCCCAGCACTAGACAGTGAATCAGTTACAAACTCTAGATTCAGCTGCCTTCAAAAAGTATCCCCCAACATGAGTGTGTGAGGCTTTGGGGGGACATGCATACACAAGCTCTAACAGTCACCTTTGACAATTTAAAGCAAATATCCCAGAAGTCATGCAGTTGTTACACTGTATCATATCAGTATCAACATTCTTGACATTGATATGTAAATCACCTTGTAGTGTTCCCTTTGATTCGTTTGGGTCATATTTGTGGCTCATGAAAAGAAGACAGGATACATTGTCTAGCATGTTTTAAACCATTGCTTCTCCCTTTAATTGATACACAGGTCATGAGGGAAGATTGGTAAATTGCAGAATCTGATGCATGAAGTTTGGGCAGGTATCAGATTCTGCAGTTTAGTGAACTCCTATGTAATGCTTCTGCAGAACATACCTTGAGCAAAAACTAACTTTATTCCTCTTAGGCTTATATTTCATTTGTTTTATTTTGCCTCTAACAAGGTTACAAAGACCTCAGGCTTGAGACCAATGCAACCAAAAGATATTGGAGCTGTCCGAGACTTGATCAACAGTTACCTGAAGCAGTTCCATCTGGCTCCAGTGATGGATGAAGAAGAAGTGGCTCACTGGTTCCTCCCTCGGGAACATATTATTGACACATTTGTAGTGGAGGTAAAGCTAATTAAGTAATTCTGAGAAGGACAAAAACATTGTGATAAACAGTGTGATGAGCACTGTTTTCTAGGAAGATAATGATGTGCCTATGTCTTTCCTCTTCCTCCATGATGTAGAAAAGCCACATCTTCTTATAGTTCCATTCCTGGACACAAATGAGTTTTTCCCTCAACACTGGGAATTGAGCCCAGGGCCTTCACACTGAGCCTTATCCCTCCCTCTTTGTTTTGTATTTTGAGACAGGATCTTCTTGCTAAGTTGCTAAGCTACCCAGGCTGTGCTCGAACTTGGAATCCTAACTCAGCCGTTAAAAGTGTTTGGATTGTAAGAGTTTGCCACCACACCTGGTTTTAATCTTTTTTTAAAATAAAATCTGGAATTTATTAATTGATGTCTCCATTGGAGGCTCAGGAGAGAGTTGAGAAGTTGGGGGTTTAATCTGGTAAGTACTTGAATGGGAGAAGTGGAAAGGGCCAGTTGAAAGCAACTCGAGGTCTGTTAGCAGCAGTTCCACATAAGTCTTTACTCAGCACTGGAACAGAGGATTGCAGGCCCAGGTCGGGTAGTAATGGAGGAAGCCAAGGTGGGGTGACTGAGGACATTTCTGAAGTACAACCGAGCAGTCTAAATTTCTGTTTCTAACACAATGCAGGCATAGCCATCTTTGTGCACACATCTTCATGCATCCGTGCATATTCCAGGTCAGCACTTTTCAAATGTTTTCATCACAGATCTCCTTCACTTTCTGACAAATTACCTATAAATATTTGCCATATTCAAAATTTCAAATTCTAATATTCATTATTTTATGTTATAATGATATAATAGTAAATCCACGTTACCTAAATATATATTTCATATGGAAAATATGTATCTCCCAAACCACAGAATTAGTGAATCATCTTACATTTCTTGCAAATCTCATTGATATCTGACTTAATAGAAGACAATTCCTTATCTATTTCTACTTTCATTCTGTTGTAATACTCTGCATGAACTATTGAATATTTGGAAAAGAATGAGTACTTTATCTTTTCAGATAATTATATATTTCTTATCCAAAATCAGTGATTTTTTTACACTCTATTAAAATTCATTGATCGTCTTGTTTGTTTTGGTTTTTTGAGACAGGGTCTTGCTATGTAACCCAGGCTGGCCTCAAACTCTTGGCAATCCTCTTTCCTCAGCCTCCTGAGTGCTGGGATTACAGGTGTGCACACCACTATACCTGGTCATTGGTCTGTCTTTTTTTTTTTTTTTAAATGGTCCTGGGCATTGAACCCAAGGCGTCACACCTAGTAAGCAGGCACTCAGCCCCTGAGCTCCCCTGTCCTTTGCATGATACTCCTGCTTGCATATGAGTTTATACCATTATGCATTGGTCACCTGGAAAACAGTAACTCACTGAATTATAGAAGTCTTTCAAATACTGACATTTCATTGTATGATACTAAAAAATCACATGCATAGATATCACCATCTTTGTCATAGAGGAGTCTATAATGTACCTCAAAGTGAAGGATACATGTTTTCTAAAACTCTTAACTGGTACCTGCAAGTTCATGTTTTATCCATGGCAACAAATCCTACCAGTTTTCCCCTGGGAATAACAGCCTCCTATCATTCATGTCAAGACAATGTGATGAATACGGACTCTCAGTGATCACAGATTGCCAGCCCCCAGTGAAGAAGTGCTCGTTCCCTGGAAAAGTGGCCATAGGCTTGCCATGTGTGCACTGTCAGGGGGAGAAGGCAGTCGTTCAGCAGTGCAAACTCAGCATCTGCTTTTATCACTGGCTGATAAGAACAGACAGACTCCTTACCCAGCCTAGGAAACTTCCCTTTTAGAAGTCTGCTTTCTAGGAACTGTAACTCTGTTCTCTTCTTGGCCTCTACCCAGCTTAATAGACTGGGCTCAAACTAGAGGTCTCACTTGTTCATGTGACAAGAAGTTGTGCTGCAAGGCAAAGCTACTTGCAGTGTGTCCAGGAAGACACTTACTGATGTTTCCTTCACTTCTCAGAGCTCCACTGGGAAGCTGACTGACTTCCTGAGCTTCTACACACTCCCCTCCACAGTCATGCACCACCCCGCCCATAAGACCCTGAAAGCTGCCTACTCCTTCTACAATATCCACACAGAGACACCGCTGCTGGACCTCATGAACGACGCACTCATCATAGCCAAGCTGGTGAGTGGCCCATCCTCTTTATGCTGTCTGGTTCTCCACATGTGTACACCAGCAAATGTAATGGCTAGAATACCTTGTACAGCATTTTATTCCATGCAGGTGTAATTCACACAAGTCATTCCTTGGTACACTACGGGCAAGTCATTTGTAGAATTTTACTAAGAGTTTTTTCTTAAACTGTAGTGGTTGTATTTTATTGCAACTTAGCAAAAAGCCATCTTGTACAAATTTAAAACTTTTTTTTTTTGGTAGTACTAGGGATTGAAATCAGCCAGGGCTTCATCCAGAGCTACATCCCCAGCAATTTATTTTAATTTTTTTTTTTTTTTGAGACAGTCTCACTAAATTATCCAGGCTGGGCTTCAATTTGCAATTTCTCTGTCTCAGCCTCTCAAAGTGCTAGGCACCATGCTGCGCTACAAATTTAAAACTTTTTAATGCTTATATAGAAATACATAAAACTCATAATCCAGGGAACCTAGAAAAAGACCCTATCATAATAGAAGGGAAACACAAGTAAATATTTGTATTAAGAACATAATCTGCAGTAAATTTATTAATTTAGCTAGTCTCCAACTTTTAAAATTAAAGGAATTAAATTCAAAATGTGCCTTATTGTTTCTTTTGTCTATAAGTTAGTATCGTTATTGAATTACTGCCATAATAAATAATTTTCCCTTAAAAAAAAAAAAAAACCAGCTTGGGGGCTGGGGATTTAGCTCAGCGGCATAAGCACTTGACTTGCAAGCAGGTGGTCGTGAGTTCGATCCCCGGTACCGATAAAAATGAAAAAGACAAAAAAAGGTGGGGGGGGGGGGACTGGGGATTTAGCTCAGTGGCATAAGCGCCTGCCTTGCAAGCAGGCAGTCGTGAGTTCAATCCCTGGTACCGATAAAAAACGAAAAAGAACAAAAAAAAAAAAAAAAAAAAAAACCCAGGTTGGATGTGATGGTGCATACTTATAATCCTAGCACACGGGAGGATTGCCATGAATTTGAGGCTAACTTGGGCCACACATGAGTTTAAGGCCAACCCTGTCCTACAAAGCAAGTCCCTATCTCAGCAGCAAAAAACTCTGAATCAAGTGACATACATTGTGCTGATAAACACTGAGTGTGGGAAAATAATTTTTCATGAGAAATTAGAAACAAATAAAAAATGTTTTTCTTGCATTTTTCTCATACTTGATCACTGAAAACATTGTTTTACAAATCTGTTATTTTTGAATTCCCAAATCAACATTATCTTCAGATTGCTTGTTGTCAACTATAGTATTTCTTATATAGTAAGTTGTTTAAGGTAAAAACTCAGAAATAAAATTTTATGTGTTTCATCTATATCACATTGCATATAATACTATTACTAATCATTTTAATGATTTATTGGCATTTAATGACTATTTATTAGCAGGATAGGGAATTGAATCCAGGAACACTGTACCACTAAGCTACATCCCCAAACCTTTTTTTTTTTTTTTTTTTTTGTCTTTTTCCTTTTTATCTGTACCAGGGATCAAACTCACGACTGCCTGCTTGCATGGCAGGCGCTTATGCCGCTGGGCTAAATCCCCAGCCCCTCCCCAAACCTTTTTATTTGAGACAGAGTCTTACTGAGTTGCCCAGGCTGGCCTCAAACTTGTGATCCTCTTGCTTTAGCCTGCCATGTAGCTAGGATTACAGATATGCACCAAGCCTAGCTAAGAAATTTAGACTTTACCGTTAAAATGTATTGCCGCAATGAACCCAAAGAAAATACACTATTTAAAGTCTTTACAACTTTGGTTCCTTGGCAGTAGCTTCAGCTAAGTCAGGAACTTAGGCCAATAATTAATAATCTGGAAGTGGAACTATCTAGACATCCTTCTGAAGCAGGAACAGAAAATTTTGTGAAATCTTAGTAGGTTATTTTATGTAAATGCCCAGCCATCAGGTGTACATTTTTTGATTCAGCATTTCTGAAGTATCTTGCTGACTTTATCATACTCACTTGGTAGCATTATAAAACAATTTTGAACTGAATTCCTAGCCAGTACTATATATCACAAACATTAAGCTCCATTATAAGTTCAAAAAGTCTGTTAGTAGAGAAATTGTTACACTGAAATGTGTATTAGAGAAGACACCCTAGTCCCCTAATGTTTTAAATTGTAAATCTCTTTTACACTGGCAGAAAGGATTTGATGTATTCAATGCACTAGATCTGATGGAAAATAAGACCTTCTTGGAAAAACTCAAGTTTGGTATAGGAGATGGCAATTTGCAGTATTACCTATACAACTGGAGATGTCCAGGGACAGATTCTGAAAAGGTGAGTGACACTGACAAAAAACTTTGTAAACAGTGAATCTGCCCAGACATTTCCATACTTTCTTCCCTTAAAAAGGCTTTACAAAGAGCTTTTGAAACATTCATGTATTGAATTACATTATGATTTAATTTTCTACCTTGCCATCTTGCTATCATTCTATTTCTCTCCTCCATTTAGGTTGGACTTGTACTCCAATAGATGGATCTGTTGATTTCTAGAGCTCTCACATCCTCATTTGTTAATATCCTATTTAACAACTCCTGGAACTGCCATTCCAAAGAAGAGAAAAAGCACAAGTGAAATTGAAGGAGTCGGTAACAATCAGAAAAAAGGAAAAACACCTGTGTGACAAGTAGTACACATTTGTAGCTAGAATGTTAAATTTATCCTGTTTCTGTTTACCCACTAGTCAGAAGGATGAAAGGGTACAAAGAATACATTCCTCTAGTTTTCAAACTGTAGGCGCTTGTGAAGAAAGGGTATTTTCCCACTCTATAGAAATGGAACTGTTTTTCTATGAACTAAGCAGAATTCACAGCATTGTGTAAGAAAATCTTTGCTGCTTTGTGGAGATAAACTGCTGCATTTGTATTTATTAAATAGTGGTATATTCGTCTGTGTAACAGAACAAAGGATCCACCTGGAGAATGTTGACATACATCACTGTCCGTGGTGTCACAGGGGACGTGTGTGGAATGACAACCAGAGGATATCTAAGATAGAGCAGTATGAACATGGAGAGGGCATTTATTCTTCTCTAAGCAAAGTTGCCAAACCAATAAATATACAGATTCGTACTTGATCTTCAGCAAGTCATGGATCATTTCAAAAGCAGTCTTGAGCAAACACTTGTGTGCTCCTCCCCATGACCAGACAGATCTTCCCACTGCTGTATCATCTCATCAGCAATACCCAGGACAGGTGAGGGCAAGGAAGAAAATAGCCTCAGATTAAAACCAACACCCGGGGAATTTATTAGTGCTCTCAGCACCTTGATAGTTTGAATGTTTTATTACTTATGCAAAATTGCACATATTCCTTTATGCTTTTAATTTATCATGAAAACTGTCATGCTGATGGAAAATGTGTTATTTGTAAATAAGTATTCATCATTTTGTTACTGATGGTCTTTTTACCTACAATTTGAAAGTTTCACAATGTACATATATGTGTATATACTGCAAGTACCCCAAGGGAAAAAAGATGCAAAGCAAGGCCAAATAGACTGGCCTTACATGCCACAAATAGACACTCCTTCCTGTACCAGTGCCTCACTGTTTAATCCAGAGCAAGTTACTTGTGTCACCCAACATGATGGAATTCCCTTCATGTGGTTAAGAAGCCACTGAAACCAGTCATACCACCAAGGGGCCACTAGAATATTGCCATGGGCTAATTCTGGCCCATGGCCTGTTTTTATACATCCCACAAGCTAAGAATAATTATTACTTTTTTTGAGTGATTGGGAGGAAATCATCAAGACTAATTTTTAGACACATAAAAATTACATAAAACCCAAATGTCAGCATCCATGAATAACTTCTATTGAAACACAGCCACACTCTTGTGTATGTAGTAACTATGGCTTCATGCTACAAAGGCATGCTGGGTATTAAGACAGAATGTGTCTCCAAAACATGAAATTTGTGGTAAAGGTTGAAAGCCACAGATGTGGTGCCCAGGACTACCACTAGAGGGGACATTTGGGCCCCACAGTTAGGACTAGTTTTCAGATGACTCAAACCGAATACACTGCCCTTCGTTCCCAACAAGAGAAAAATCAAAAAGCAAAACTACAGCTTCACTGGGACTGACACACCAGCATTAAGTAAAAAGTACTTTTGAGTCACAACTACCTATATCTCCACTTCTGTCCATTTTTATGGGACAAAGTCTTGTATACAGGTTTTCAAATAATTGAAGAATTGCCAGTCAGAAATTTTGTCACAAGTTTACGTCATGAGAAAACTGTGAAACACACTGATCCTCTAAAGACTCATTCACGTATCTGTTGCAGAATTCATGTCATTTAACTGGATCACTTTAAAATTCTGTAATTAATAGCTACATTGGCCTATTCCTTTATGCAGATTACTAATTAACCTTTAAGTAGTAAAACTGTTATTAAAAAATACATGTTCTATACTATTTATAATGAAAATATTTTTTGGAGACAGGGTATTACTATGTAGTTTAGGCTGGCCTTGGAACTCTCAACAGTCCTCTTGCCTCAGGCTCCTGAATGTTAACATGACATGTATGCATCACTATGCCTGACAAAAGGATCCATTTGGTAAGGATCTTAAAATTTGGACCAAGATGGTACTAAGTAAAATTGAAATGAACAGGGTGGCATAATCCATGAGTCACCCAAGATTTTTGAACATTTTGGTAAACCATTACCTTCTCTCTAGACAAGTGACTCTTCCAGAAACACTGCGTACTGTATGCATCATATAGAACATCTGCTATGCTGGTTCCTAATCTTAAGGGCCTTTCATCACCTAAATCCAATGAAAGAATCCATGATCAGTTGTTTCATTGTCTCTGCCACACTTTACCACCTACCACCATCACACTGTGGTTTGTTTGGTGCTGGGGGTCAAATCCGCAAGTTCATGCTAAGCATGTGCCCTACCACTGAGCTGCACTCCTGGCCCACACCGTGCTTTTTATACATGTTAAATTTCCAAGAGAGTAAACTCTGTACACAAAATGAACTCTAATTAAAATACCTTATCTAGCTTTTTTTCTGTCCATATCAAGTTTTTCTCACAAACCCACAACCAAGCCTACCTACAATGAAAGCTAACATAGTTAAAAAATGACGGCTTCTGAGGACAGTGTAATACTTGCATTTATCTTTCTTCTAAAACTGATACTTCTCAGTTGTTTCACTGACTCTACTAACTAGAACTATGTGACCCATTTTCTAAGTCTGGGAGAAAACTATTTAAGTGTTGTAGGATACAGATGTTCTTGCTAACAAGCAGTGTACCAGCCTTTAAAACAGTGAATTTACAACAGCATGGATATTAGTTTCAATAAACTTTTGATACTCATTTTTTAAATTTTTCTGAACTTAAGTGTATTTAAGCTTCAGCACATTGTGCCACACAATAATGAAGTCTTTTATTACACATCTGAAAGAAACATGACCACACAGGATCTCGGCAATATACATAAATGTAGCTCACTTTATTTTAAGTCCTCTTTATAAGGTGTCCTTTTGCAAACTGCATAAAACGACATTTCTCCAAGATTATTTCAAAATAGTCTTTTTACTTTTAGGTGGTTTCCTTATCTTATTAGGGTTGGGAATAAGTTTCTTTATTTTAAGCGGTTGTAATGGTATAGCACAACCCAGCCTCCTTTCAGCAAGTTTTCTCTTATGTTTTGAGAGGTCTTCAAATGAAGTTTCCAAAACCTCTTGTTGATGGTCTTCCAAAGATCCCGTCTCTGTATTTTCTCCAGAATCTTCAATTCGGCCTTGAAGCCATGGTACATTTAAGCTGGGCACTCGGGGAATGATAGCTCTTACTTCATCTTCAAAGCTGGAGGTGCCTTTTCTGAACCCCAAGGCTAGCACACATTTTAAGCCAATGACAGGGGCAATTCTCTCACTGAGCCGGGGAACCTGACAGGCAGGAACAGATCTGCTTAGACTTAACTGGATCAAGTGTGAAGTGATGATGGCAGGCTTGACTGACTTGCACACAAGCACCAAGAGCAGCTCATTCCTCTCTAGGGCCCGGGTGACCTCGTTAACACCAAGGGCAAGCTGCTTCCTGACATGCACAGGTGTCCAACCTGATGCTTGCTGGTCAGCATCAGGCTTTTTCTCCTGCAGGTCCTCAATCATACTAATGTCTAGGCCATATTTTTCTCTGCCTTGCCTTTTTAGAAGAGGTAGCCTTTTCCTTTTCTTTTTCTCCTCTATTTTCTGAAGTCCAATAGATTTGAACCTGTCCTCAAGAGTCTGTAATATGAACTGCATGTCCTCTCTCGCCAGGGGGCTCCAGCAGAGAACGTATGGGTTGTTCAATGACGTCTTCACAGTCACAGGCCTTGTCTTACGAACAGAACCCCTTCCTGGTGCTTGAAGGGCAGCAGCCATTTTGAAAATCCTTCAGAGAATCAAAATGACAATGGAAAATTCATGTTAGCCAGAAACATACTCTCTCAGAGTCATGGTAAGCTATAGCAAACCTAATTCCAGAGACCTAGTCACGTGACCAAATGTTTGATCTCTTTTTAAGACTTAAGTAATTTGGGGCTTGCACAGAGTGTGCAAGGCCTTGGGTTTCATATCTAGCACTACAAAAAATGAAAAAAAAATGATTAGTAATTTTAATTTCCCCCATTTTTTCATGTAAATTTATATTTCTTCCTATACAGGCAACATGAAAAGTTTTACATTACTGTAATCAATCATAATGAAATTCTATTTGCTTTTTTGTTTATTTAATTTCCATTTCAGAGCTATTGTATAACTCAGTAGGAGAGAGCCTGCATGCATTACAGGCCTGTGTTTGGTCCCTAGCACTGCAGTAAAAAAAAGTTGTTTTACTTTAGTGGCTGTATGGTTTAATCTTAGCATTTCTGAAACTGCTCTCTGGCTGTGCTTTCATTCATTCATTCAGCAAATACTTTCTGACCTCCTCCAGCAACAGGTGGTGTTCTGGTTATTGGGGCTTGTGGTAAGCAAGACTGGGCAATCCACAGAGATCATCATTTTTTTTTAAGGGCCCCAGAGACCTCTGCAGTGATTAACAGTTGTGATTTTAAAAATGCAAACAGCATTCTATAGATGATTAAAATTTCAAGTAATGGGTTGAATTCCTTTTGGAAGTCTCCCTCCCTACTTAGCAACTAAGTTTCTTGTATATACTTCCTAATATATTTGATGCATGTGAAGGTATATGTGGCCCTCTTCTCATGGTTATTGAAAGCTGACTGACAATTTCATTAAAACTAGAGAAATCTAATGAAATTTAAAGATATCAGTACAATAAGAGGAAAGATAAGGGCTTATAAAAGGGTTTCTTGTTGGGGCAATGTTATAAGTCACTATCTAGGGAGCATATCCTCTTTATCCTTCCTAGAGGCAAATGTGTATTTCTTTCTCTTTCCTATTTTCTTCCTCCCTTTCCTAGGGCTCAACTTAAAACCACAGTGAATCACTTGGCAAAACTACAGGAAATAAAGACCCCCTCCACTTAAAAGTTGCATGTACAATGTAGACAGGGAATGTGTCCAAATGTATAAAACACTTCCACAGTCTTTCATTTTACATAATCATGTAGAATTCTCCAATGTGTGAAGGAGGAAACAGACTCACTTCAAAGTCAACTAGTTTTTCTACATTTTCTGTTCTTTCAATCCTGCCTTCACCTCAAAAGCAACCTGTGACTTTTAAAAATACACAGATGGTTGGTTCTTATCCCACATCTACTGAATTGGAATTTCTGAGTATGGCAAATGCAGCTGAGCCTTATGAATTAGAACCAAAATTAGGATCTGCTGGTGTTTGCGGTAACACAGGAAACCTTGGTCATGACAGTACTGCCCATCCATCTGCTGTCTAAATTGTCCATCTTGTGGCAGCCACACTGGGCACTTCCCTACCCCCCATTGTCTCTTCCTTGCCCTCAGGCTGAGGGAATTGGGAAAAGTAGCTCATCCAAATCTAACCAAGTGATTGCTGGCAGTTGGCACTGAGTTAAAGGTGGTCGGGAAGAGAGAAATGAATGAGCAAAAAACTCTGCCAGTCATATACTGTTCTGAACATCCAAACAACATAGGGCATTTACAATTACGTACATCGTAGCCAAAGAATAGCAAGCTAGGCATTAACTCCTGTGGTCTGCAGAATCTGGTACGAGAGAATAAACAGCTAAAAGCGTAAGACCGAAATACCTCCCAGAATACAAGAACCAGCTTCAGAGGAAGGGAGAGAAATAGAAAGGACTCGCCATGTTGCCTTTTGAGCTACGTGACTTTGCCAACTCTAGGATCAAGTGCAAACTATAAGGTGACTGCTATTCAAAGGCCTGCACAAGCTGGCCATCTCCTATTCGTCTCTTTCACCTTCAACCCACCCACCGTGTGTATTACACCCAGCTTTGAGGCCGTATTTGTAATAGCCTCCGAGTACTCATACGCTATTCCCCCTATCTCAATAACCTTCCCACCCTTAGCCCCATTTGCAAATGGATTACTCATCATGCATTGTCCATAAAATATTTAAAAGGCAATAACAGTATCAGCTTGAAGTTTAGGAAGAATTATCAGCATAAAAGCAGCACAATGCGGTGCAAATTAAAGTCAAGCTCGTGCAAGATGCTTAGGAAACTGTACAGCAGAGGAAGTGAGAAAAGGTCCATTTCCTGGAGGAAGTACCTTCCTAACAACCTACATCTTAAGAATTCTTACCAAAGGTAGTACGAAACAAAAGAAGGGTATCCCAGCAGAGTCTAAAGCCAGGCCAGAGTGTAAAGCACAGATAGCAACGTGTAAAGCATAAGCTTTATACGAAGATTCTGAGGATTCCGAGCAAAATAAATGTGTTCTGCAAGACAGGAAGCAGCAAAGGCTCCCGATCGGACACAGAAGAAGGGCTGGCAGCGAGCACTTAAGAGGCGCTGGGGAGGCGGCGACCGACCGAAAGGGGGCTACTCCGGCTGCGTCCCCAACTCAGGTCTGTCTCACCCCACTGCCAGCGTCCCGCTGGCCACGCTAGAGGAGCCCGGAGACCGTGGGAACTCGCGCGCCTGCGGGGTTGGCCTACCCTCATCCCACGCGAGGCCACGCCGCCTCGCCGACCTGCGGGCCTCTCCACTCACTACAGTGATTCTCGCTCCACGCGAGCGTCAGCGTCGGATCCGAGGGTGTCCGCGCCGAGCGTGCGCAGAGCCGTCACTTCGCGGCCCCGCCTTACAAATGCGGTAGGTAGGCGGGGCAGAGTCGCTCGGAGCGCTTCATCTTGTTTGTTCTAGATTACGTCGTTCCTTAGGTCAGTTGGCCCACAGCGTTGCCCAAAATAGACACGGCAAGACCTCATCTTTTAAAACCTTGCGTAAAGACGAGAGGGAGGCTTCGGTCAGTCGCTAAAGTTGCAGCGCGCAGGCGCAAGATACGTCTCGCGAGACTCTGCGGCTGCCGCGGGAACAGCCCGCCATCTTGTGGGTCTGGTAGTCTGCGGTCGTGTCCGCTCCGGGGTGTTGTGTGTGCTGCGAATTTCTTTTTTTCCGCATCTTGGAGTCCTAACCTCTTCTCGATCCAGAGACGCAGAATCCGAACCCGGGTCCTAGTGGCTGCATGTCCATTGAGTCCTGGCGGACTGAGCCACGTCGTGAAAATCAAATAAATGAGAGAGATTAGATAAATTGAATAGAGCACGTCCTTCTAGGAATTATGTAGGAATCCTGATGCCCTCGAAACTCGAGAGAGTTGGGGTGCTTTGCGGGTGCGACGGCAACTGGAGTACTCCATCAGTCTGCGGTCAGTGTCCAGCTCACAGAGCCCCGGGAAGCCGTCTTCAGTCACCAGAACAGTCGAATAACATTTGAAAGGCGAGGAATCTGGATGTGTTGACCCACACTTAGCAGCTGCTTCTCCTGCCCCAGCCCACCCCTTCTTTTCAGTTCTCCAGACCAATTTGGGGATATTCTGTTTTCCTCTTCTCCATATATTCCTCCTTTTCTCAAACTCTACATAATCATTTTCTTCCCCATTTTGTGGTCTAGCTTCTGTAATTTTAATTTTCATCACCTAACTGGCCATAAAGTGAAAAGGTATTGCCTTTGGTCGGTGACTATTTCAGGTTACACAGGTTAAAGTAGAATGTGATTTTTATCACAATTAGATGAAAACGAACACTTACAGTGAGTTTATCACATTTTAATAATATGAATAGTTCAAAAAGATGAAATGTAAACATATACTTCTAAAGACAAAGACACACAGGTCTAATTATATAATACTAGAGTACTGAAAAGGAAATTTAAGTTTCCCCCCATTAAGTCCCAGAAGTGTAGAGCGACCATCTTCTGAGCTTGCATTTTCTCTGGAGATCGTCTTTCCTTGTAGTAGGTGGCTCTGGAGCCAGGCTGCCCATGTTTAGATCCCAGCTTCACTGCTGGCCAGCCTAAGACTCCAGCTTCCTAATGAAGGGATAAAAATAGTTCTTATTTTGAGGATTAGAAGAGATGATTTCTTTGAGATGCTTAGCACAGGCCTGACACACATAATAAATGCTTGGTAAGTTGTAAGTACAGTGAAAACCCTGGCAAAATTAGACCAACAAGATTTAAATAAACTCTTTAATTCACTGCTTGTATTTTTAGACCAGCAATATAATTTCGACAAGAATTTTGTTAAAAAGAACAACTGTGTTTCAAAGGCAGTTACTCTCATTTATGCTATACAAACATTACAACAAAAAGCTTTAAAGTCATTCATGATCCCATACCCTCAAAACATGTTTCTTTTCAGTTCTCTCCTAATTTGTTTCACCCCTGTGCATGCTAAAAATAGTCAAATTTGCATTCTGATTTTCTTTCCACGTAATTTTCCCATGTTTCTCATAGTCCTCCAGGGGCCACCTTAACATTCTATTCCAAGTGATCAGTTTTCCTTTTAAATTACATCTGTTAGTTCTTTTGCTGTGAAGTATCAGGTCTTGGAATAATTTGTAAGAACTTTGACTAGTTTACAAATCTTGTAAAAGCTTTCTTTTACACTCTATAGTTAGACCATTACTAGATTTATATGTTTTCCATTGTAGCAAGAAATGCCCCCCCCCCCAGCCAGTCTGTTAGATGTGGAGGTGATAGTGCCTGTTACAGTTCCTGTTGCTCCTGTCTCCTCAGAATGGCTGGTCACTATGATGCATATTGCTAGAACCAATCAAATACAGCCAAGTATTCTGCTTGTTGCTTGCAACCCCATAAAAACCTCCCCCTCTGAGATTTTGGGGCCTGATATTTTGGGAATGACCTCAAACAGTGCCCACTGACATAAATAATCTACCTTGAAATTCTGGGTGTTGTTTCATTGTTTCTGCTTGCAAGTGCACCTTGATAGAAGCAGTTTTAAGATTCTGGATGGTAAATTGTGTCATTAGCTGCAATCCTGTAATGAAATAAATGAAACTTCAGCAAGAAAGTCTAAGAATGTAGAACTGCCAGATTTTTTTCTTCCCTCCATGCATTCTCATTTGTTCTCCGTGTGCATATATATATATATAAACACAATTGTTATATGAACAACAAGCAGTGTTTTCAACCAGTTGCTAAGAATAGACTTTAATGATGAGGTGCAAATGAGAACAACCTTTAGGTCTGTGCTATTGGAAGCCCTGATAAAGCAACTTGGGGAACATCTGTGGGCATGAAGGCAATGGTAACAGGGTATTTCAGTAGCATAGAGGCACTGCTCTGCTTCCATAGGTAAGGCCAATAAGGAGAAAGAACCTAACTGGATTCAACCCAAACCAAAGCAAAACCAAGCCCAAAGTGATGTCAGCTCCCTGAACCTTAGTCCCACGAGCCAACATCCCTCATTCCAGAGTCGAGTAACGGGTGTCATGAGTGGGGAGTCACTCTGCACTGAGGAACCAACTTGAACTTTTGCATACAGTTGTACAGACAACATAGCAGCTTGCTGTGCATGCCTAGGTGGAGGGACTGGGAGGTGGAAACCCCTAATCTCAACCAACACTACAGACATGTATGAGAAACACTCTGCAAGTAAGTCTTCACAGAATCCTTGACCCAGGAGTGATTGGAGGGTTTTCAAAACTCAAGTCAGTCTGCAGTTGTGCCTTGCCTTTGTGGTTATGTGCGGATGTTCAAGGTTGTCTGGGGCTTTCACTTACTGTTCTACTGAGGAAGAGAAAGATGAAAGACTTTTAAGTCAGATGATCATAAGGTTAGTGTGAGATGTTCTAGTAGAATTTTTTAAAGAGTAATTTTAGACCCACAGTGGTTTTATTTTGTTTTTGAGGGAAGAGACCTAATGTGAACAGTCTCTAAAATTTTAGAAAAATAATTTGAGATGAAGTTTGCTATGTTGCACAGACTGGTCTCAAACTCCTGGGTTCAAGAAATGCTTCTGTCTCAGCCTCCCAAGTAGCTGAGACTGTAGAGGTGTGACACCAACTCAGGCTTTTATTGGGGGGGGGGGAATGAGGGTCCAAACTCTTCTAAAGCAATATAAGCAGAATTAGTTAAGTCTTTAAAGACAGAAATATGTGCATATGTCTGTGTATGTATGAATCAGGTAAAAACATACCATTCAACTTTATTGATGCAACTGGGATCTTCTATGCATCAGGCAGTTGCTTCCCAGTGTGTTCAAAGGAATTTTCATCTGGGCACAAGTGGACAGGCAGAGGCTTCCAATGGTGTGACCTCAGCCTCTCCCTCCAGCACCAGGCATGGCTGAGCTTTTGCAAGTTCGAATTCATATACACACATCCTGTTTCAGGTTTGCCGAAGGAGACCTGAGTGAACCTGAAAAACAGAGACCAAGGGATATTAAAACCTCCTGCAGGGACTGTGGAGGCAGTGATAACGAAAAGGAAGCCCAGTGTAGCTGCACACCGCCTGCAATCCCAGATACTAAGAGACTGAGACAGAAAGCCCTCAAGATCAAGGCCAGCCTGGCAACTCAGCCTGTTTCAAAAACAAACATAAAATGCGTAGGGATGTAGCGCACTGTGCCAGGTTCAATCCCCAGTGCCACAAGGAGAACGAAGAAGGAAGAAGGAGAAAGAAGGAAGGAGGAGAAGTTGGAAGGAGAGAGGAAGATGAAGAAGATGATGCAGATGAGGTGAGGAAGAGGAAAAAGGAGAAACCTGGGGGCTGTCAATCTGCACTTCTTACACTGGATCCTGTGAATGAAAAATGCCTTGTTCACAGTAAGTACTCAACAAATACTTGAATAAATGAATGTGAAAGATAAGGTGAAAGGAAATCAGGGGAATCAGAGGGCATTCCATCAGTGTGGTGGCACATATCTGTAATCCAAGTACTGTAAATGCTGAGGCAAGAGGATCTCCAGCGTGAGGCCAGCCTGGGCTATGTAGCAGGACCATGTCTGCTGTCTCAAAAACAAAAGACTCAACCACAAAAGGCCGCAAAACTAAAGGTAGAGCTTTATTAAACTGGCTCATACATTAGATAAGCCATAGATGCACCTTTTATTTTTCATAATTTTACATAATTGCGTAATATGCACCCACGCTGGCCCTGGCACCGGGAGGGAGGACCGCACTGGCCAGGTCCTGCGGGTGCACAGCACGGTGCGGTCCTATAATTTTACATAATATGCATCTACGGCATTCATCTATAATCTATATTTAATAAAGTTCTTTTTAAAAAAAGGTGCCAGACCAAAACAAAAAACAAAAAACAAAAACCTTAAAATGGGGTGGAGGTTTCGCTCAGCGGCATAAACGCCTGCCTTGCAAGCAGGCAGTCGTGAGTTCGATCCCCCGTACCGATAAAAAGGAAAAAAGACAAAAAAATAAATAAATAAATAAAACAAGGTGCCACACAGCTGAGCGCCACTGTCCCTGGTATATTATTACCAGCGGGTGGAGAAGTGAGACCTCAGGGAACCGGAGATGCCGACCCGACCCACGGAGGACCTAGACGCCCTCCAACAGCCCGCGTCCCGCCCCCACTCCGCATCCCCGCCACGCCCCCTCCGCATCCCCGCCACGCCCCCCGCCCGCGGCCCAGGGCGCAGCCAATGGGAGCGGCCGTCGGAGGAGCGCGGCCCTTTAAGGAGCAACGCTAAGGGCTGTGGCGCATTCAGTGCAGAGTCTTCTGGTGGCGGCTGTCGTCATGTCCCTGCAGGTAACACGGGCGAGGGAGACGCGCCGCGCGGGCTGCCGGTGCTGGTGAGGGCCAGCGCCCCGCAGAACACTCGGGGCCCGGGGAGGCCTCACCTTGCACCCGCCGGGAGGGAGGACCGCGCCGGCCAGGTCCCGCGGGTGGACGGCACCGTGCGGTCCGAAAGGCCTTCTCCTCGGAAGCGCCAAGTGTAAAAGTACTGTATCTTTGATATATTGGCCATGGGAAACTTCGGGAAAGAGAACAAATATAAATAAATAAAAAGCATCGGGAGTTCCTTCACCCAGGCAGTAAGCACTGGTAACAGAGCGCTTCCTCTAAGTCCTTTTCTGCCTGTGCATATGGCCATCGGTGCAGGTGTGTGCACGCGTGTAACACACCTGTGGGGTTATATGTTTGCAGTTTTCTTCCTGTACTTAACAGCATTTTTCAAGCATTTTCTTATTAAAGATTGTCTGAAGCATAATTTCTAAAGGGTTTAAATTTTGTAGGATGAACGTGGGTAACTTTAGCCGTTTCTTCAGGAGAGCAGTTATGGGGTAGTAAGCACACTCAGGGGTCTAGGAGGGTCACCCAGGCCTCGCCATCTCTTTGCCTGTGACACAGTTACTTCTTTCATCACTTTAATCTTTGCTTCTAACATAGATACTGTTATTCTAGCCGAGTGGAGAGCCTGGCACAGGTCCAGCAAGGCTATCTGTTGAATCTTTTAGATATCTTTTTGTTGTGTTTTTATATAATTCATATCAAAGTTTGTCTAAAATAATCAAGATTTTCTGTAAAGCAAAAGATCTGAGTGATTGCTTTTTAGATTAATATTTTGGTTTTGTTGTTGTTTTTTCTATTATTGCCTTCTTTAGTTGTTAAGCTTCATTTTTGCTTTAAAAATATTTTCAGTGAGGATTTAAAAGATTCGGAAATATCATAAGCCAGCAGTAAGCTAAAAGAGATTAATACCAAGTACTACAGTAGGACAACTCAAAAAAGCAGTTAAAAGAGATAAAGAGCATCTACGCTTATAAAAGTCACTTACAAAAGTGACACCCAGCATGATGTGATTCACCAGCAATCCATTTAAGTACTAGAGTAAAAATCTAAAAATAATAACAAGGGAAGCTGAGGAAAATACACTGGAAATACGCTATTTTTATAACTTTTATTTGAGTCTAAACTCATTTCAGAGTAAAAGTTTAAAAAATACTAACGAAAAATTTTAAGACACTGCACCTTTTGCATTTCGAGTCTTCTTGCAAATAACCTTCCCCTTCCCCTACATGTTTGCGTAAAGATCTGTGCAGATCTTTACAACAGTGGAGCACAGTAGCTCCACTGTGAACATTTTTTAAACCTTAATTCAGTTCCGCAGTGGATAAAGAACAGCTCAAAAAGATACTGTTAAGCCATACAAGCATGGGCTGAGCATGGTTTTTGGCTGCAGAAAGAGAAGTAGATGAAATGGGAGTCATGTTTAGAGCTGTCTTTGGTGGGTAAGATTGGGAGGGACATCCCCAGGGGTACTGGTAGCCATAGAGAAGGCAGATGTTGCCTGAGGAGGCTGTCACTGCTAAGGAGGATGTTGTCAGGGACCTCATGGGGAAAGCACACAAAGCTGAGGGCCCCAGGAGAGGCCTAGTGGCTGAAGTTTGTTTTACAGCCTGAGTAGGAGACCAACTGCACCAGTATTTGATTGGAACTTGGAGCACCACTCTGAGAATCAGCTGATTAGAAACAAGGGAATATAAATAAATAAACAAACAAACAAACTGTGGTCATTTAAAACTCAGAAAAGCATTTGAAATCCACAATCAGTTTTCACAGAGATAGATCCCAAGAAGGAATCTCATTTAATAGGTTAAATCACAAAATATCCTCTTTATATTAGAACTTATTTTATAAACTTAAAAGGCTGTTCAGCATCTTTCACCACAACAATTTCTGCCCCAAGAACAGGATTTATAATGTCAAATGTTATTCATATATGACTTTTCAATCATGAATATTTTCATAGTTCTATATGATTTTTAAATATTGAACTTTTCGGCACTATGGCTTATATATCACAGCCACCAAAAGAGTTTATGTTTAATCAGTTACACGCTGAAGAGGACTTATTAACATCACACTAAACTTTAAAGTTTGGCAGTTTTAACCAATCATAAAAAATGAAATGGAACTATTGTCAATCTACTGTTCTGTGCAAGAAGAGAGCTTATCCCTTCTAATAAACTGTGCTTGGACACCAGTTATGTGACCTCTCATCATCTACTACCCAAACAACCGCTAGTACTCGCTTTTCTACATTCAGATCAACTTTGTTAGCTTCTACAGTTGAGAAACAATATGTGGTATTGTCTTTATGTGCCAGATTTATTTTAAGTCATTCATATTTTATGAAGAACTAGAAGAGAGATTAAAGGCTTCAAACTTAAACGATATAGAGATGGAAAAGTTAATTATCCTAATTTGATCAGTATGTTATAAATACACATTAAAACATTACCCTATGAAGCAAGCCCTCTCTACAAATTGGCACCATGCACAGGCCGCTGGAGAGGGGAGGATACAGTCAGATGTACCCATTTGCAGACGGTAGGGGAAAAGAACAAAAAGCAAGTCCTCCCTGTGAATCAACACCATGTGTGGGCCACTAGGGAGAGAGCAAGACACCAGCCTCTTCCAATGCACAGGCTGGGAAATAAGAAGAGCCAAGCCCCTCACCAGAGCCCTGCAGTAAGCAACCTGCTGATCTAGAGAAACTCAGGCTGCAATGATGGCTATTGAGGCTGAATACAGTTTAATGCTTGTAGTGTTTAGTGTTTCAAGAACTCTGCAGGTCTAAAGCCGATGGTCTGAGTATCTATTCAGAGGATGGCAGTATGCAGTGTAGCATTTATGGGGATCTCCTTCTGAGGGTGATGGCCATTGTTGATTCCCTATTGTCTTTTTTGAAGTTCTGTATCATTTTCATTGTTTTATTGGATTAGGTTTTGTTCCGTTTCGTTTTGTTTGATTTTATTGTATCCAGTGGCATGGGCAGCTATTTCAAAAATAACAAGATACATTATGATGCCCATTTTGGATTTACTGTTATCTTGTTTTGAAGTCCTTTATTGCATTCATTATTTTGTTTTTATTGGTTTCACTCTGTTCTGTTTTGTTTGATTTTTCTATGTCTGAATTTATCTGCAGCTACTTTGAAGAAGCAGGAGGCATTATGGTAACCATTGTTGATTTCCTATTGTTTTAAAATCTTATGTCACTTACACTGGTTTGTTTTGATTGGCTTTGTTCTCTTTTGTCTTGCTTGGTTTTATTCTCTGTAAAAAAAAAAATAAAACATTAAAAAAAAAAAGAAAAGAAAAGAAAAGAAACAAGGGGCACTAAGGGCACTGCAGTACCCAGTGCTGATTCCAGAGTGTTATGATGTGAAATCCAGCAATATTATTAATCTTTGTTCAGAAGGATTTTAATCTAATAAGTTTTGTTAAGTCTCAACATAAATGAAGATATGGATAAATGTGTACATGCCTAAGTGTATAGGATTGATAGCCATAATACTTAGTTTTTGTTGGATAGTTGAACAGAACTGTTTGCAGTCTCCCTGGTTGAATTCCCATTTATATGTTCCACTTGTGTATCTTGAACAACTGTTTGTGGGGGAACAATATGTATGCATCAACTAGTGATTTATTACTGTTTATTTCTTTTCTTTGAAAATATGTACTATTTCTGCCCATTTTCTATTTTGTTTTGTCTTTCTTTAAATTAAAAAAAGAAACACAGTTCCTCACCCAGGCAGTATGCCCGGCTCCCCAAACAGCACAGGAAGCTACCCAAACAGACCCCTTCTTCCCCAAGTGCTTCTATTAATAAGAAGCAGCTGAACCCTGAAAGCTGCATCTCATCCCTGCTAACTTTAAGATCCTCCTGATATCCACCCATTTATACCCACTGAACTCAGCACAGGCTCATGCCACCCGCCCGCACTCTGTGAACCTGGCAGAACTGGGCCTTACAGCTGCCCCCTGTCGTGGAGCCTTAATTCTGCTGCTGGCTGCTTGGAGCAGTGCTCCTTAGTTCTTCCTCCAGCCCAGTTAGGCACCCTCTTTAGTCTGGAAAAAGGCTGCTTCCTGCCTCACCTGCCCTTCTGTGCGGCCACTCGCCCTTCTAGACTCTCACTGTGGCTGCCCCCACTTTCAGCAAGTCTCACAAGTCCCTGCTGACTGATGACTGCATAGGCCCCTGTCTGCCTAGCACAGGCCTGGCCATCACGGGTGTGCAGCTCATCGTTGGTGTGGTGCCTGCATTGAACTTTGAGAAAACTAAACTAAATAAAAAATATTGGCATCCTTAACACCTTTCTGTTGAAGACAGATACAAGTTCAGCATCCCTTGTCCAAAATATATGGAATCAGTGTTTCCATTTAAGATGCTTTTGGATAGGGACTAGATAGTTGCATATACATAGTGAATATCCTGAGGATGGGACCCAGGTCTAAACATGAGATCCACATGTGTTTCACACACACCATATGCATAGAGCCTGAGAGTGATTTTGTTGGTTAGCATCTGTGGTGTAACTGTGTTTGTGCCCATGTCAGCCAATGTGGATTTTTCCATATGTGGCATTACATCAGCTCAAAAACATTTTCATTTGGGACATCGCAGAGGAGCTTGATTCCTAGCCTGGAGTCCCACAACTGTGTGCCTCTGCTGGAATTCAGCCTGTATGCACCCAATTGTGTCCATGTGAGACCTGTGTTCCTTCTACCACCGCTCACTGTGGATGGGGAGGGAGAGACCTCACGGTGGAGCAGACCTCAGAAAGCATACTAAAGCACGAGTCCGACAAGTCAGGATGCCCAGGAAGGCAGCAGGACAGAGAAGGGATGACAGGCGCTGCCAAGGAATGGAATCCCCATCCAGAAAGGGAGGAGGGATGAACAATCCAGCTGGTGGGGACACGCTTCAGGGCTGAGCTCCTCTGTTCAGGGAGTCCAAGACACTTAGCACAGCTTGTTATGGCTTACCACTCCCAAAATGTGGAGAATGATCTTTAAGAAATTCCATCCTGGAAGGCAGGAAGCTTATGAGTTTTTGCAGAAACCTTAGACTACTTGCAGGGCTGTAGTAATATTGTTGTAGTAATATTGTTGGGAAATAGCTGGAGCCTTTCCAGCAGACAGGCTCCCTACAGTGCTGAGAGTGGGGCGGAGGACACCTGCCAGACTTGCCTGAGGTGGCCCTGCTCCCCCTGCATTAGTGAAACAGACTACATGCACATTCTAGAAAACCTAGACAGTATACAGTATTTGAAGCCAGAAAATTTACTAATAATCAGAGGCTGTTTACCTATTTTTAGTCTGTATTATTTTCAACACAACTTTCTTAAACCATACTATTTTTCTTGTGTTACTTTATTAAGAGTATGTTCAGATTTTCGCTAGACTTTCCTTTCTCAAGAGCCTTATAATAAAAATAAGAGTAACCAACATTCATTGAATGCTCATGATATACCGAAGAACTACTTTAAGTGTTCTGCATGTATAGACTTGTTTAAATCCTTCTAGCAACCTTGAGAAAAGTGTCATTATTGTTTTATATTCCACATAAAGAGACAGACACAGAGAGGTTAGGTGTTGGGCTCAAGGTGAGGCTGAGAGTCCAGTAGAGCTAGTGTCCTACCCATGACTGTGTAGAAGCAAAGATGGTTTCCCAAAGAGACACAGAATGCATTCCCCCATGTGCATGCTACTCTAGGGCCCCCGCTGGGCGCCAGTGAGGGGGCTGTTTTCAAGGCTGCTGAGGTTAATGACTCTTCAATCACAAACAACCACTCCACTGTGCCCCTTCTCCCGCCTTTGGCCTGCCTGGAAGCCCCCCAACATCTCTGCTGTGACCAAAGGTTCTGAAGTCACAGTGGGGCTCCCTTTCCTGTCCCCCTTGGGCCTTTGGCACAAGGGAGGCTCAGGCCTTGGAGAAATAAGTACAGGGCCCAGATGGGTCCAGGAGGCCTCACAGAGCTTCCTTGGATGATTCTCAGGCCACTGATAATTCTTGCTTATCCTTAACATAAGCATCACAAGGTAAAATACAGTTCATAATAAAAATAAGAAAGTCAGTCATCACGCCCTTCATGCAGTGTCATCTGAGCAGTTGAAGAGGGCTGAGGTACTAGGGTGCCTCGGCTGTGAGAAGGCAGAGCTGGCCCTCTCCTCACTGTGGGCCTCCCCAAGGGAATGGCCACAGCTGAGTCCTGACTGGGGGAAGCAGGGGACTGCTGAGGGCTGTCTGAAATGGTCTAAGGTGCACTACTTAAGCCTTGGTCCCAATTGCCGCACTGGAGGTGGTGACAGCCTTACATGCTGGGGTCCCTGGGAGGTCTTTGGATCACTGCGGGGCCCCAGTCCTGCCTCTTGCCCTCTCCCGCTTCCCTTGCTCCGCTGCCATGCCTGCTGTGGCCAGGGAGCCTGACAGTAGTCTCCTGCGCCGTCAGTCTTTCTTTCTAAGCTGATGATTTGCCTCTTGGATTTGTGGTAGTGATGCAAAGCTGTCTGTTAGGGAGGTTGGGGTTTTCAGACTCAGCTCAGGATAGGGCTATTTCCTTCTCCAGCATGTTTGTCTATCAACTCTAAGTCAGCTAAACAACTCTTTTTCTGGAAATCAGCTGAAATGAATGATAATTTTCAGTGTTGGTGCTTAAGCAATTCAACTAAATCAAGGATATTGATTGCCCTTAAAAACTAGCTAGTGCTCTGAGCAGGTGTGACTGCTGATGAGACCAGAAGCCGCTCGATCAGTGGAAGGGAGGTCTGGGCTGTATTGCTCCCCTGCTCTGAGGGGTGGGAACCCGGCCTTCCAAGAAGCGTGGCCAGGGCATGGGGATGTGGTACCCGCAAGGTGATCCACACAACAGCAAAAATGGATATGCTCAGCATTTTTTTTTTTTTTTTTTTTGTCATTTTCCTTTTTATCGGTACCGGGGATCGAACTCACGACTGCCTGCTTGCAAGGCAGGCGCTTATGCCGCTGAGCTAAATCTTCAGCCCCCGTCCAGCATTTTCAGTATAGTTCTCCATATGTCAGGTGAATGCCAGGAAAAAGAGATCCATGAGTTCAACTGAGGGTGATTCTGGTGGATCCAAAATATCAGGGGTTATTTTTTTGTCCTTCCCTTCTCTTCAGTTTGTATATAAAAACTTCAAAAATTATTTTTTTCTGTTTCTTTTCTTTTTCAGTACTGGGAATTGAATCCAAGGCCTCTGCATAGAGCTACATCCTCGCCCCCCTTTTAAATTTTGTATTTTGAAACAGGAACTCGCTAAGATATTATGTAGCCCAGACTGGCCCAGAACTCTGGCTCCGCCTGCCTCGGTCTCCCAGAGTTCTGAGATTCCAGGCATGCACCATCATGCCCAATAGTTATTTACTTCTGTTTGAAACCTGTCTCCCATCTGCCCTCCCTCTCAGAGGGCAAACAGCCACACCAGTGCCCGGCATGTCTGACATGTGCACATAAACACCACCTGCCTTTGTTTTTATTTTTGCATTAGGCTGATTTTGACAAGGTTGCAGCAGATGTGAGGAAGCTGAAAGCAAGACCAGAGGACGAAGAACTGAAAGCACTCTATGGGCTCTACAAACAGGCTGTCATTGGGGACATTAATTTTGGTAATTATGCCACATTTTAAAAGATAATACAATTGGTTTGAACAGTATTTGTAGAGTGCCCAACAAAAAGTAAACTTAAAGTAAATCTCTCTTTCCTCTTTTGGCAGCATGTCCATCAATGTTAGATTTAAAAGGGAAGGCCAAATGGGAAGCATGGAACCTCCAAAAAGGTTTTTAAATTCTTAAACCAGGTTCAAACAAACCTTAATCTTTCACTGCACCACTCTGAAATAATCTGCTTGTATCTTTCTAGGGTTGTCAAAGGAAGATGCCATGAATGCCTATATTTCTAAAGCAAAAGAACTGATTGAAAAGTATGGAATTTAGAATTCATCAGAGAAGAGTTTTCCTTCGAATCCTTCTTAATAGTATGAGCTAATATTTAAGGGCAGTGACACCGTCGACTCCAGACCATGGATACATTTGTTGTCAGCGTGAATTATGATACTTAGGAATATACTGAAACCATGTAGTTGACTAAATTTTATTTTCTTAAACCGGGTAACTTTAAAAGTATTTTTGCTGGACATGGTGGTACACACCTGTAATCCCAGCACTTGGGTAGCTGAGGCAGAATAATCATCATGAGTTGGAAGCCAGCTTAGGCTACATAGTAAGTTCAGCTACTGTGAGCCTGAACTACATAGATCCTGTCTCAAACAAAGCAAAAATGTTCTTTTAAAAAATTGTTGTTCTGGAAGTTTGTATATAAAAACTTCAAAAAAATTTTTTTTCTGTTGTCTTATCTGTTCTGCAATGACTTAGTGCCACTGAGATAATAAAAATAGTTTTATTATATTAACAGCTAGTGGGAAGTCAGTGCCTTTACCAGAGCTTCCCCAGATGCAGGGACTGTGGAGTCATAGGCCACCTATCAAGTCCTCATGCTGTGCTTTACTAGGTGACAGGGACAGGTTATTAGTCTAGAGAAGGGAAAGTAGCTTACTGTCACAGGGCCAGTATAAGAAATGACTGAGTTACGTAGAGCGATCTTGCACTCACTAAAAGCTGTATAAAATATAACAAATGCAAGGTGTGGTTTTGTGATAGAGCCCTTGCCTAGATTCACAAAGCCCTGATTTTGATCACCAGCAAAAGAAGCAAAAAGAAGGACTTACAAGTCTACGGCACTGTAGCTGTATAAAAAAATAACCTCATAGAAATATCCACTATTTCTCTTTAAAAGTTTTGCACTGGCCGGGCATGGTGGCTTAGGCCTATAATCCCCGTACTCGGGAGGCTGAGGCCAGAAGGATCCTTGCCAGTTCGAGACCAGCCTGGGCTACAAAGTGAGCTCAAGGCCAGCCTGAACTGCATAGCGAGACCCTGTCTCAAAAAGACAAAAAAAAAAAAAGGTTTTGCACTGAAGACAAAGAGTCAAACAAAATGCAGCTGGTGACGAAAATGCAGAGTGAAATACAGTGCTACACACCCCTCAGGCCTCCTGGCCAGTTCTTGGACTCTTCAGAGACAGCTTCAGCCAGGTGAGGCACAGCACTGTCATCCCATCTGGGAAGCCAAGGCAACAATAACACAAGTTTAATTTAGTGAAAAAAGATCAGCTGGAGATGTAGCTGAGTGTGCAGGTACTGGGTTCAGTTCCTAGTAACACGCGCACAAGTCTCATCTTTGTTTGGAAACCTTAGATTCTGTAGGATATAGAATTACTATCTCCCCAAAAGACTGTACCTCTGTTCCCTGAGTAAGACTGCAGTTATTATGGTATTAGCAGAAGAATAGATTGACTTTATTTTCCTTAAAAACAAAAACAGAAAACCCCTAGAAGGTGTGCTGGATGAATATCCAGGGGGTTAGGTGAGGGCAAAAAGCCAGTTCTAGAATGTTCCTTCTGGGTCAGAATGCCTGAGGTCAACTCTGGGAGTAAAGGGTTGTTTGGGCTCACAGTTTGGGGGTTCCAGGTGGTTCCAGTCTGCCCTGCTTGGTCTTGTTGCTTTGGGTCTGGAATGACACCCCACAGCATGCCAGGAGCTGGTGGCAGAGGAAGGAGCTTCTCAGGGCAGCTGGGAAGCAGAGCTCGGGGTCCTGTACCCCCCAGAGGAGAGTGCCCTGGGCCCTAACTCTCTTCCAGGCTGGTATCTGAGCTTTCAACACCCACGAGGAGAAAGCTCTACACCTGAACCAAAGGCAGCTTTGGCTCCCCTTCACATTCTTGAAATGGAAATAGTGGAGGAACCCAGTGGTGGTTACATTCGCTGAGGAGAGTGGTGGTTCCTAGAAAAAGGCAGTAGAGGAGTCTACAGAGCTACAGGAGTCTAATGATACTGATAATGATACTATTAGAAATTTGGTATAAGCCTGTATGGGGTCTTTATTATTTCTCATCACTGCATGGGAATCTGTACTGATCTTTAAATGTTTAAGCCAGGCATGGTGGTCCACACCTGTTATCCCAGCATTTCGGAGGCTGAAGCTGGAGGATCACTAAGTTTAAGGCCAGCCAGGGCTACATAGCAAGGCCCTGTCTCTAAATGAAAGGAGTGAATGAATGAATGAATGAATGGATGAATGAAAACCTAGTCAAAGTGGTACTCAGCTGTAATTTCAATTACTCAGGAGAGTAATTGAGACACAAGGATCTTAAATTCAAACTCAGCCTGAACTAACATAGCACCCTGTCTCAAGAAAACTTAAACATGGAACAGAGCTCCAGAGTTCCGGCCATGGAGGGATTCAGGCACCTTATTCACCCGCCCTCTTGGTAAGCTTCTGCAAAGTGGGCCAGGAGGAGAACAGAGCTCCAGAGTTCGGCCATGGAGGGATTCAGGCAGCTTATACACCCGCCCTCTTGGTAAGCTTCTGCAAAGTGGGCCAGGAGGAGAACAGAGCTCCAGAGCTCCTGCCATGGAGGGACTCAGGCAGCTTATTCACCTACCCTCTTGATAAGCACCTGCAGCTTGGGCCTGAAGAAGAACCGTCACCTGTGAGCCAACTTCCATGCGAGCTGAAAATCAAGCACCCTTTAACTGCTACCAGTTTCAACTTATCAAATGATGTATTCAGCCCTCTTTAGCAGAATGGCTTGCTGAGGTGAAAACTGAGTGTGACAGTAGATAAAAATCCTGAAGCCTTCACATCGCACTCAGCATGAGGGGACATATTATTCCATCCACTGGTACCTGCTTCATGTACACCAGAAAATGATGATAAACTCAGGCTCATCAAAATGAGGTGGCATTTCAGGAAGAGCCAGGATGCCAAGCCAGAGGTCACAGGTGTCCCAGCCACTCCAGCTGCCTTCCTCACATCCTGCCCTCCGTGCTGCATTAAGGCAGACCCTCTCAGCTCTGTGCTCAGCTTTATGCTGAGTCATTTTGATTTGAGGCTACATTATCTTGGAATGTCATAATTTGCAATATCATTAGTAATATTGGTGTCTTACTTGAACCACCCTAAAATTACAAATCGAGTATGCATTTACTTGTTTTAGTTTCTAGTTGTATTTATATACCAGATTTATTGTGGTTTGCACTGGGTTAGCAATAACTTCGTAGGCACTGACATAGTATTTTTCTGAAATTTTCCATTATTATTTGAATTAAGCACATCTTCAAAAAACAAATTAATAAAACTTATATTTTACCCTTCAATTTAACATTCTATATTTAACTGACTAATATATTCTGTTTATACTTTTATCGAAATACACTTCCTTTGTATACACTATTTATAAAGGGTTTTTCACTTTTGAGAAAACTCCATTATTTTGTATGCTTTTTCCATTTATTAATTTATACTTGCTTTTGTCATTTCACTGTATTCCCTCTATTTGGTCTAGAGCTAATTCTCAAATTCTTCTTTGCATGTAAGAATGAATTAAACAACTCATTCTTAACTGGATGTATATATAGGCTTATCTCCTCAGCAATGATTGAACACATGTAAAACTTTGGCTATCTTCTGTAAATGTTCTTTGGTTTGTAGCTTTTGTGTGCAGGGTTATGATTCCTTTAGAATAAAAATTATGTTTTCTAGTCTGTATAAACTTCTATATAGATTGCTGATACCTTCAGTGATGTGACACTGAATCTGTTGACCTCATTTGGAAGAGTGGATACCCTAATGATACTCTGCCAGAGGATCATTAGCAAGGCATAAACCCCATTGATGTACACTTGGTATCTTTTGCTGTAACAACTTTCATATTTTATTATACTAAATTCTATACATATTTTCTTGGAATTATTTAGGATATTACATTCAATCCATGCTTTCCCTTTTTATCACTTTGTGTTTTGGTATTATACATGACAATTTTTATTTCAGATGCCAAACATTGATTGCTGGTACATAGGATAATATCTTAGTCTGTATGCTGAATGTGCAAGGTGACTTCTTGTTGTCATCATCATTCTTCATCATTGTATAGGGAAATAGGCAGAATTTATGCCTGAATTTTCTTATTTGTGTTATAAAATTATCTGAACACTCATTTTATCAACCCATGTAGTGACCCTGAAATCAATGTAAATGGATTCTCTTATGAATGAACCTTTCTTGTCCTGATTCACATCTTTATAGGCAGCAGGAGACATGCAAGTGACTGTTTTTTCCTCCAAAGTGAGCACACATAAGTATTCCTTCCATTGAAGGCAGAGCAGATCTATCAAGGACAAGAATTTTCTCTTCTCAGAATGCAGCACAAGAGGTACCAGCGTGCAACTTGAGAGTTTACAGTTGGGAAAGAAACTACTACTGTCTTCAGTGATGTTCTTCAAGGTGGGGACACTGCCAAACTTTCTTCTAGATGACGTTGCAATTGCAGAAGAATATTTCTGATCAAAAATGCCCCTTTGTTGCACTGTATGTCCTATCATATGGGAGACATTATTATTTTATAAAAGTAATCAATTATTGAGTGATTTCCTGAGTTGGTATCATTACATACTGTAGTATATCTATGAATTTAGAACTTCCATTTATCTTTTGTGGCGCAAGAGATTGAGTGAAAGGTCTTGTGTATGTCTGACATGTGATCTCTATTTACTTTATCATTTAAAAATTATCATGAGCTAAAGTTTTATATGGAGTTTTCCTGTTAGAAAGATACAAACATATTGGATCAAGGTCTATGTGATTACCTCTTTTTAATTCCTAAAAACATTCTATGTTTCATTTAGATCACATTCACAGGTATCAAACTTAAGCATTCAACATCACACTTGAAACACAGTTTAACCCACATGATGGTCTGACCCAAATTAGAAAAGCAAGCCTGAGCCTGGCAATACATGTACTGAGGTGGAGGACCCAAGTGCTTTTAAGAACCTAGAATGCCAAAGAGAAGACCTCGGCAGGGATTGCCTGATGGCTCAGAGGTTGGGGCTGAGACCCTTCGAGGAATTCGCCCTGCCCTGTGCACATTGCCTGAGGTGGTGAGAGGCGGGGTAGAAGCTGGCTGGCTGTTCACCAGAAGCCTTTCCCCTGGACTACACTGAGTGAAAGATTTTTAAATCAGTAATCAGATCCAGCCTTCATACCATTTCTCCAGAGGGGCCCTGGAAATGGCATCAAACTAAAGAGTACAGGGTGACACAAACTCAACAGAATTTGCTTGAGCCGCTTCTAAGCTCAGACTCATGTGGATTGTAACATGCTGCCTCCTTCAATACTTATAGATTCCTTGTCATTTGTCAACAAGGAATAATAAATTCTAGAAAATTTCTCCCAATCTATTTTGTTTCTTATTTACTAAGACCCTATGTACAGTATTTTAAGATAGTGACATAAACGTGAACTTGTGATCACAAATGTTGATGTTTGTTTGAGACAATTCCTTTGCTGATCTCAAACTCCTAATCTTTCTACCTCAGACTCCCAAGAGCAGGGATTACAGGGGTGCACCACCACACCTGAATTTGAAAGTTAACGTTTTAATGTATGACGTTGTTATGCAAGGTACTCTGTCAGGAGGAGACACAAGTCATGTTAAGAAGTGTGCTTTATTGTGAAGATCTGGAGGAAAGATGGAAGGAAGCAGGGTCTCTGATGACAATAGTTAGGCACCATCTAGGAACTGACAGCTCTGAGGTAGGCAGCTCCAGGTGCTGTGACTCTCCTTCTGTTAGCAGGAATCTGTGTGGTGCCTTCAAAACGCTGGGCCGTTGTGCTGACTCAGCTAATTTCTCCTGCTTCTACTTCTCTTACTCTCTTGGTGGCTGTTTGTGTCTTGCTGCTCTGCTTTCTCCCCGGTGGAATTCAAGTCCTCCAGGGTGAGGGCAAGGCAGTCTGTTCAGCAGGACCTTGGTGCCTGCCCACACCCACCCCAAAGCCAGGCTATTAGGCACCCTCAGAGGGCTCACCCTATAATACTGCCTTCATAAAGAGGGCTGGGCATGTGCTTCAGCAGACAATAAGAACTGTTTAATAAAGCTGTGGATTATACTGTCTTAAATCGTACTCCAATAGGATGCTTCCCTCTGCTAACCAGCTCAAGTCCAGGAAGCAGCTGCAATCCCTGACCCTGCATATACACTAACCACCGTCAGTGACACTTCCTGCCAGTAACCAGCTCAGGTCTTGGAAGCAGCAGCCAGTTGTGCCTCCACATGCACACTAGCCAGCATCTGGGATGCTTTCCAGATAGCCAGCGTGGGCTGCCAAAAGCATCAGCCAGCCCTGCACCAGCACATCCAGTGACCACCGTCAGATATCCATAGCGAGGACTGGCTAGGAGAACAAGTCATGCTTTAGAGAAGTTGTAGCCAATGCAGGAAGTGTCTGGGACCCCACTACCTACTTATCCAGAAGAACTCAGGAAAATGTCAAGATAAAGAAGGAAAAGGTAGTCTCTGGCCTCCAACTCATGCAGAGCAAGTCCAGGAGATGTAAACATGGAAGAGAATGGGAGCCACACACCTGAAGTTTCTGAAGTGATGGCAACTGAAATAAAGAAACAACTACATGGGGCTGGGGGTTTAGCTCAGCGGCATAAGCGCCTGCCTTGCAAGCAGGCAGTCGTGAGTTCGATCCCCGGTACCGATAAAAAGGAAAAAGACAAAAAAAAAAAAAAAAAAAGAAAGAAAAGAAAAGAAACAACTACATGAGGCTTTAAAAGAAATTAGAGTAGAAATACTATCTAAGGTAAAAGAAATAAAAAACATAATAAAACAATTGCTAAGCACCTCTAAAGACATAGGTTAAAAATAGAGGAGCTTAGGAAAATGAGGGAAATCTTGAATGAACAATGTAAGAAAGATTTAGAACGCATGAAACAGACTCAAAGAGATATCCAGGAAATTAAAAACTCCATTGGAAGCTGGCAAAACTACTTGAAAGAAACTGAAAGTAGACTTTCAGGCCTTGAAGACAGGTTTACAGCTAGCAATCACAAAAGGAAAGGTCTCTTAAAAATAACAAGGAACCAGGAAATAACAATTCAGCAGCTGCAAGACAGCACAAAGAAAAATAATAACAGATGCTAGCAAAAAAAGCAAGGGTCAACACACATGGTATAAAAAGTACTTACAGAAATAGTATCAGAAAACTTCCCAAGCATGCAGAAAGTAACATTCAGATAAGTGAGGCATATAGATCTTCAGCTAGCCAAACCAAAATAAATCTATACCCAGACATAATAACCAAGATCCCACAAATTCAGCAAAAGAACAGAATATTAAAAACTGTTACAAAAAAAGAAACAGATCACTTGTAAAGAAAAACCCATCAGAATCTTGACAGACTTCTCAACACCAACCACCAAATCAAGAAGAGTGAAGTATTTCAGTCCTTAAAGAAAACTTGCAACCCAGATTGATTTACCCTGCAAAACTATCTTTCAAAATTAATGGAGAAACAGGATACCTCCATGACAAAAAACAACTGAAGGAATTCATGACCACCAAACCAACCCTATAAAGAACACTGAAGGACATTCTAGAAAGAAAGAAAAAATGACCACAGTTCTAGGAACAGCAGCCCTGGAGGATCACCAAGTAGGGCAGACAACTGAACATTGGAGAAAAGAAGTCGGCCAATGGCAGGAAAATAGCATGGCAGAGACAAGCTAATGCGTGTTGGCCATAACCATTAATGTGGATGGCCTTAATTCACCAATAAAAATTAACACAGGCAGAGTGGATCAGGAGACAGGATCCATCAATATTCTTTATACAAGAAGCTTTGGGGGGGGGTACCAGGGACTAAACTCATGACCTAGTGCTTACCAGGCAGGCACTTATGGTGCTGAGCTAAGTCCCCAGCCCTCTAGAAACACATTTAAGTCAAAAGGGAGTTCATAGACTGAAAGTCAAAGGAGAGAAAAAAATGCTGTATGTGACAGGTAACCAGAAAATAGAGATCGATTGCCCAGCAACTGCAGAATGGATAAGAAATATATATTGGAAAGCTAGATAGCTATAAAGAAAGATAACCTGGATGATCTTACAGGTAAATGGATACAACTTGAGATCATGCTCATGGGTGAAATGGTTCAGAGTAACATGGTATTGCCTCCCTAGTATAAAAACTGAAGGAGTTAGTGGGCTCCAAATGCACAATAGATATTGTGAAAGTGAAAGGGGAGGAAATGTCTAAAAAAGGAAAGCAGTGGCCATTGTTAATCTACTATCCTGTTTTGAAACACTGTATTGTTTTCATTGTTCTGTTTGGTTTTATTTGTTTGATTTTATTATCTTTGATGGCATGGACAACTATTTCAAGGATAACAACATATATTATGGTAGCCATTATTGATTTCCTATTATCTTTTTTCAAAAACCTGTATTGCTTTCATTGTTTTGATTGATTTTATTCTATTTTGTTTTGTTTGATTTTATTATGTCTGCTGGTATTGGCAGCTATTTTGAAGATAACAAGAGGCATTATGGTAACCACTTTTTTCCTGTTACCTTGTTCTGAAGTCCTAGTCCCTTATTCTGTTCTATTTTGTTTGATTCTATTATGTTTGATGGTATGGGTTGTTATTTTGAGACTAACAAGAGGCATTATGATAGCCATTATCAAGTTCCTTTTTTCTTGTTTTGAAGTCTTGTATCATGTTCATTGTTTTGTTTTGATTGACTCTATTCTGTTTTATTTCACTTAATTTTATTCTCTTCAAAATAAAAATGAATAAATAAATAGTACACGCATATATCTGAAAGAAGAGATCAAGCCTAGAGCCATGGTGGGTTGCTAAAACAGTGATTTTAATTCCATGCATTTCCCCTGACAATCACTTACACCATTAAAAGAGCTGCATGGGGCTGGGGATGAATGCTTGCCTGGTGATGGCAAGCCTAGCATGCATGAGGCCTTGGGTTCAATCCCTAGCGCTGCAAAATAGTAACAATAATAATTATTGAAGCAAAAACAAATAGATAATTTGCCAAGAAAATTATTGACAGCCTTCCCACAGGTGAAAATTAACTGAGTTAGAAGCATTCTTTTAGCTGTTTTTCCTTTATCCCCTGATACATAAAAGTTCCATGGAATGATACATTAGTACATAAACAAATCACTCTTAAGAGAAGATGTATAATTTCTAAGCTCTGAATAAAATTAAGGAGCTACATTTAAATAACTATGAGAACAGTATATGATCTCCCCCTCCTTTTTATTTTTGAGACAGAGTTGCTATGTAGCCCAGGCTTGTGTTAAACTGGCAATCAAGCAGCCGTAGTTTCCAAAGTGCTAGTATTACAGGCCTTTGTCACTTTGCCTAGCCCAACACTTTTGACTATTTTAAGGCCAAAAAGAAAATAGCTAAAAGTTGGCAAGTGAAGACAATTCTAGACACTTGGTTACGTAGTTCCTGATGAATTCCTCATTGACAGGTTCCCTAAGATGAAAGTGATTTCCTGGCAGTACATGAAGATCAAAACTTCCACTGGTTACAGTTTTCCAGGCTAAAAAGAAACAAAATTTTATTTAATAATAAAAGCCATTTATCAGCTACAATGAAAGATTTTCTTTAAGATAACTGCTCCTGTAGGACCTGCTAGCTACTGATACAGTTACTTCCAAGGGTTCACTTTTCTGTGCTGTATTTTTAATTTCCCTAAGAGGTATCAGTATACAGTAACCCTACCTGGATTCTCTCATTTTACCCAAGATCAACATCTTCCCATGTTACACTAAGTGGAATAATTTTCTACTCATGGCATTAGCTACAAATTGAGATTTTCTGAAAACCACAAACACATATTTCAATAAAATACCCAAAATTATGAAAATAATTTCACCTTCCATATCCTTTGCTATGTCTTCAGATCCAATAAAGGCTGTGACGTCACAAGAAAGGACTTCCTCTGAGAAAATGTTGAAGCTGTGAAGAGGAGGGGCCATCAGTCCTGTGTCCCAGGCTAACACCCTAACACCCAGCTCTTCCTGCAGAGACTCCTTTGTGGTGAGGAGGGGCTGCCTCCCCTCTTCCCACCCGCCTGCTCCATCCTCTCAGAGCCTGCCTGAGCCTCACCAAGAAGCAGCTCATTTTTACCTGTTTCTTAAATTCTAGAACATGCAGGCAGCCCCAGGGCTGACTGGAAAATGGATTACCAGGAACACTTGGAGCTGTTGTACCCCATAGCCTGTGACCTGTCTCCAGCTCCCTTCCCACAACTGAAACTGACTTTCTCATAACCACAGGGGCCGCTCTTCTGTATCACACAACAGAACGAGCCTGTTTCCTGCTTTCTAGAGGTGGGAGCATTGGCTCAGGAGACAGACATGAGTGGAGGACAACTGGGGACAGATGGAGGTAGAACAGGGTGAAGGCCACGCTCCCTGGGGAAGTAGACTAGATCTGAGATCCCAGTGAACAGGAGAGAGGGAGACAGCAGGGGCAGAGGGAAGAGGGGGAACTCAAATGCCTACAGCCCAGAGAACTGAGGGGGGGACTGGGATCAGAACACATTATGGTAGAAGCAGGAGGCAGGGGCCATTTGAGTGTAGGCTACTTAAAGGACTGTAGTGTGATGTCACCAAAAGTGTTTCTAGTAAGGCACCTACAATAAAACTTGACTCATCCTTCTGAGTATAGGGGGAGGGGGGCAAAGAGCAGGAGAGGACCAGCTAAGGGAGCTTTTTCAGTAGCCTGGGCCAGGAAATTTCTACTGCCTGCATGCATAAAACAAGGAGGGTCATTCCCACTTGACAGATACCAACCCAGGTCAATTCACCGAGAGCTGAGTTCCAGGAGGGGTAGGCACTTCTCAGGAGAGAAGAGACACGGGCATGGACTGAGGCATGGCAGTTATCCCAAGAAGGGTGAAGGTCTGCAGTTAGCTGCGTATTCAGTAGTATTAGAGACCTAGCACAGGATGGGATAGCTGATGGAACCTTCTCTGACTCACAGGCCATTTCCCATGGCCCCACTAGGGTCCAGGAGAAAAATGAGCAAGGCAGGAAGGCAGAGAGTGCCTACCTGGGACAGGTGGGAAGCAACTCTTTTATAATCCATAGCAAAGATTGAAAACGGGGGCTGGAACTAGACAACTGAGAACAAATGCTCCAGGACCGTGCACCTATAGCCCCAGCAAAGGACTCTGGCTGGCACTTCACAGGGTAACCACAGCAACTGTAAAACCTAGACCCGGCTCGGCTTTACTCTCTGGTGACAGAAGGAGAGGAGTGTGCACTTTCACCTCTCAGATTCATTTCAGTTCTACTGTCTTATACATAATTGGCTTTCAATAAAAACTAGCAGCCATGGGCTGGGGATTTGGCCCAGTGGCCTAAGCACCTGCCTGCCAGGTGAATAGCAGTTCAATCGCTGGTACAAAAAAACAATCCCCAACTATCAGACACATAAGAAAGCAAGAAATAAAACTTAAGAGACAAAACAATCAGAAGCATATAGACTCAGATGTGGAACTATCAGAGAGGCACTTGAAGATAGGCAGGACAAAAATGGAGAGCTGTACATAGGCGGGGATAAAAGGAGCAGGTGTGTCATGAACTTTGTGATGGATGGAAGATGGGCAGTGACCTGAGGGACAGAAGGCCAACGTAGGTGGGCTGTTACAATTCTCCAAATGTTTCATGTCTGTGTGCGTAAACTTCTGGGAGCAAGCATAGCCCCTGACTGCCCAGTGCCAGTTCTAGGCTTTGTGGAAGAAATCAAAGAAACATTGACTCACATCTGTGCTCCAGGAATTCACACTAGAAAGTGAGCCCAGGCACAATGGAAGAAATGTGTGACAGTAGATCAGGGTGACAGAGGGCCAGGTGCTGGTCATATGGTGATGTGCTGGGGAAGCTGGACTCAGAAGAGACATATGTTAGGTTTTTGGGAAGAATTTGTAGAGTATTGGGACTTTGGGGAGAGTTGCAAATCTAAATGAGGTCTGGAATAAAGTAGTAAGAAATCAAACCTACTGCTCCTTGCTGTTCACCTCCACATCTACCCCTGCCAATCCTAAAAGAGGGTGGAGTTGGTGGTGCACACTGTGATCCCAGCACTTGGGAGGCTGAGATAGGAAGATTGCTGTGAGTTGGAGGCCAGCCTGAACATGTAGCAAGACCTTGTCTCAAAAAACCAAAATGAATGCATGTGTGAATGAATGGATATATAAATAAATAGATGCCAATATGTGATAACCATGAATGTCTCTCTATTTTTTTATATATATAATCTTATATAGATTGAATATCTGTGTCCAGGATCCATTTTAAGCCACTACAAATAGCATAGACGGCCCCAAAGAAAATGAAATCCAACACTTAAAATATTGTCTTCCCATATATGCAGCTGGTGAGAACTGCCAATCTATATTTTTCTGTATACACACACACAAACTTGTCTCAGTTACTTACCTAATTGTACTTACAACGCGTAAGTCTGCCAATACAATGGGAAAACTTTGTTGGACAATTTCCTGGCTCTCGATAAAATCCTTTGGGGTGCCTCCAAAATCTACAAGGTAACTTCTAATTTGTTCTTCTGACAAGTCATCCGGTTTGGGCAATGAAATCCAGGCCTTTGACTTGAAATATCAACAAACACAAGCTTGTTATTTTATGAAACATACTAGCTCATAAACGGAACACTACCTAAGGAAAAATCCTTAAATCAAAGGGTAAGAAATGGACTTTATCTACAGGCTCTGGAGAACTATTTCTTTTCAAAAGTAGGGAGAAAACAAAAAGTTGCTCAGTAAATCTAGTGTCACAGCGCCATCCAATGACACTCTGAATTTCAGAGAAAATTACTCGGGCGGGAAAACAACAGCAGGCTTCGTACTTCCAAGAGTTTCACATGGCTGTCCCTTTTAAATCCCAAGGCTATTTTCCGGCTCTGATTGGTTACTTTCCTGAATGTTCATTAAGTTCCAAGCTGACCCAGAATGAGAAGTAAACAAGCACAGATGGTCAGTACTACTGTGGAGGTACGGAGACAATCCAGACTTGATCGGGGGGCTGCGGGGAGCATTTTGGGGAAAACAGAGGGAGACAAACACTGAAAGAGATGGGCAGGAGCATATCCATGCCGTTATTTCCATGCTGCACCAAGTTTTCCAGATAGGAAAATAATAGCATGGCTTCTATTCCCTCATTGCTCCCCAACTATTCCTCTCTCCAAAGAAAACTAAATCACTTACATAGGGAGGAGTTACGCTTGACATAAAAAGGTGCATTGGTTCCAACTTATATTTTTCTTTCAGGTGCAGTGCAGTCATAAAAGCAATAAGGGATCCCATGCTGTTAGGGAAAGACAAACACAATACTAACTATCAAGACCTGTGGCAATCATGTATCATGAGCACAGTAACGATCATGTAGTAGTCAGAAGTGTGGGCTGATTAATAATGCTGGTCTTGTAAAATGACTAATGTCCACATAAGAAGTGTTTTATAGTTCAGTGTAAAAGCTGTACCAATTTCCACACCACTGTAGGTTAGACTGACAATGTCTCCCAAATGTCTGTGTGTGAACACCTTGTTCCTGGCATGGTGTGCCTCTGAAGGGCACCTGGACTCCAAGCCCCTGCCTTGGCTTCTCTGTCACTTCTGGGCTACCGGGTCAGTGGTTTGGCTTTGCAATACACTTTCTCCATTATGCGTGGTCTTACCACAGTGACCTCAAAGTGACAGGGCCAACCAATCATGGAATGGCACAAAGCCAGAAACCTTTTCTCTGCAAGTCAGTCATCTCAGGTATTTGGTTACGGTAATGGAAAGCTAACTAACACAGCAGGGTAAGATTCACCTAAATGCCTTTTTCCTCGTTTGTGTGTACTGCTTTTTCTCCCTTAAATGATAATATGTATCAGCAGTTCTCAAAACATGGTCTGAAAACTCTTGGGATTTCTAAGACCCTAACAGGTAGTATAACAGTCAAAGCTATTTTCAAGATAATACTAAACTGTTATCTGGTAAGTGCACGGTGAACTTTTCTAGAGGCTATGTGACATGGGATATTAGTGAATACTGCCACCTTCTATTAAAACACATTTGCTGAAGTGTAAACTAATGCTACTTGTCACATTACATTTTTTGCAGGAAATATAGTCCTCATAAAAATATTTATATCAACAATGCATGCTGGGCTAGTAGTGTTATTTTTTTAAAAAAATTTAGTATTATATTTAGATAAATTGGTAATTCAATAGTTTAAAATTTCATTCATTTTGTTTTCTAATGTGCTGAGTGGTGAACTGATATGTCACACATAAACAGAAGCTATTTGGCATCCTTGATACATCATAATGGTATAATGAAGGAGTGAAACCAAAAGGTTCGCGAACTGCGATAGATAATGTATAGATCTATTGTGTAGACAACACTACCAAGTTATTCATTTGAAAGTTGTATGTTAGTATATCCATGAAAACAATGGAAATGTCCATTGCTGCTGGAATAAAAAATACAGATAACTTGGTAATACCTGTCAAGAGCTTTAACAATGTACATATCATTTAAACTAAATTCTCGGAATTCTTTAAGAAAATAAGAGGTTTATAGCACATTTCTAAAAGAATATTCATGGAAGTATTGTTCATAGAAGAAAAAAGAAATGATTCCTATGCAAATAAGGAGATTAATAAAAACAAATCATGAAATGGTATATTTTCAGGCTGTGAAAGATGTTTCATAGCAATATTCAAATGACAAAATTCAGGCAAAGATGTAACACAGGACCCCATCATGTAGAAATACTAAGGAATCACAAAAGTAAACTGGAAGGGGAAGAAGGTTAAAGGGAAAGGAGGGAAATGGGGGAAAAAAGAAGAATTAAGATGTATTACGTATAGGTACAAATGCCCTATGATAAATGTGATCAATATATATGGACAACATGTATTAAAGTTTTTTAAAGCATTGTAATCTGGGTGGTAAGATGGTGAGCACTTTTATTTTTCAAGTTTTGCTTTCCCATATTTATGAAAATTACATATTAGGAGGTAGCACTGAGTTTCTTACTATATACCAAGTTATTTATGATTGTTATTCATTTAAGCCTCATGGTTAAGAACTATTATTATTTCAGCTTATAGGGAAGAAACAAATGGAGAAGCCTAAGGAATTTGCCAAAGGTCATATAGTTACTACGAGGCAGGCAAAACCCCAGAGTCTATGACCAACCTCAAAATTATACAGCCCAACTTAAAAATATATATACTACACTAGTTTTAATTTTACAAACAAGTGATAGGAGCCTTGATTTTATGTCTTGGTGTTTTTGACTAACAGGAAAAAAGGCACAACTACTATAGAATTTAGAGAGCTGAATGAGTTGCTACTGGCTATAATTATTCAATATGCTGTCTATGAGGGTAGAGGGAAAGGGAGGAAAAGAATTGAGATGTGTCATGTACATGTACTAATTCCCCACAATGAATGTAATCATATGTACTGCAAACATGTGCTAATAAAAAATATGCTGTGTACCCAATACAAAAGGTATGCATTTAGCAAAACACAAAGAAAAACATTACTCGTAAACTTTACCCTCCGTGTCCTTGAAACAAATTTTAGATACCTATGTCCAAAAAATGCAAATGGTTTATCTTGAACAAGTGGCAGCAAAGCACAAACGATTTCATCAACCACCTCATGAATGTCATTTGCAAAAGGTTCTTCAATCCGACTTTCTCTTCCAGCAAATCTTACAGAGTACACTGGAGATTGAGAAACACAATGAATAATGAATGAGATATTTTGATGATACAAAAGGCTTTGTAGTTGATATGAACAGTTTCAAAGAAACATAACAATAGCTAACTCAAGTAAAATAAGAGTTCCACTGAGTGAGTGGTGGGTGACCCAGGGAGAGAACCAAGCAGCCAGTGTCTCCCGAGATCCGCTGTAGGTAGAACTTAGGGCTCTGAGCAACAAAGCAACTGGCTTGCTTCTCCAGTCGGCAGCCATGATCCTACCAGTGTGTGGGCTGAGAATCAAACATCCTTCCCCACTACCGGCGTGTGGGCTGAGAATCAAGCAAATGGGAGCCAGAAATCTGAGCATCTCTTGGGACGATGACTGTATGCAATATAGCAAACATGGGGGATTTCCTTCTACCATCTCTCTGAAGACAAATATTGTTATCACTGTTTTGCTTTATTTTAATTAATTGTATTACTCTATTCAATACTTTGTTTTGATAGGTTTTATGATGTTCTGTATTTGGTTTGATTTTGCTATACCTGATTGAAAGGACAACTATTCTGAAGATAATGAGATATACTATGGTACTTATTACTGTTATCCTGCTAATCTGCTGTGAATTCTGTATCAATTTCACTGCATTGTCTTGATTGGCTTTATTCTGTCTTGTTCTGTTGTATTTTACTACCTTCAGAATTTAAAAAAAGTTTCAAATTTGTGGACAAGAGAAGCGACATTATAAAATACAAGACTAAATATCTGAAAATATGTTAACTCCAAAATACCTAGAAATGATAAGTGAAACATGTATGTAATTAGACATCTAGTTTAGTTCACAACAAAAAGAACACTTAGAAAAACGAAAATATACGAAGAGGTAATTGAAAGTTCCAGAAGCAAGTACATACATGAATGGGTACCCCTATCAGCCATCAACTATATAAGAAAAATAAAACATGGGGGGTGTTGTTTTGTTTTGCTTTTGTCTTTTTGAGACAGATTTTTGCTATGCAGTTCAAGCTGGCCTTGAACTAACTTTGTAGCCCATACTGGCCTTGAACTCTCAGTGATCCTCCTGCCTCAGCCTCCAGAGTACAGTTTGATTATAAGCATGTGCCACCATATCCAGAAAAACATCTGGTTTTAAAAGATGACAGTCAGGAGTTTGTTAAAGTTATAAGACTAAAACCTCTATGAAAAAACTTATACATAAATATTTCCTTCAAGTGGCAAAGAGAGCAACCAAGAAACTTCTGATTTTTCTTGGACTCTGAATAGGGCAAGAGATAGGGAATGTACCTACCTTTAATTTTTTAAACCAAAGCCTGCATTTATGAAAATCTGAAGTTTATTTATATTACCTTAGTAAAATTAAGCTGAAAAAATAACTAAAAAATGAATTGAGGTTAGTAGTTCTTCGGAAGCAAGGACAAGTCATCTCCTGATACATACATAAACAAAACAAGCCTTTACAGAGTCAACAATCAACCTGTTCATGAATCACTACATAGTTTGTTAGAGCAAAGTCTAACACACTGTACAGGAATACAATAAAACCCAGCACCAACAGTGTAAAAACTTACACTGTCTGGCACCTAATAAAAATTCACCAGATATCCAGAAGCTGGAACACAAGACAATGACTGGAGTAGTGGGGGAAGAGAAGTCAAACATGAGAAACAGCTAAGAAATAAAAATGAAGTTAGAACCTTAAAACAGCTATTATAAATATGCTAAATAATGTAAATGAAAGATTGGGCATAATAGAAGAAAGTAAAGACCTTTTAAAGACCTTAGTGCAATTTCTAGAGATATGAGGTATCACCTGAAATTTTTTAAAAAATCAGATGGGATTAACAACAGATTAGACATAAAAAAGTGATAATAAATGTGGAGCATCCAGAAAATGAAATTTTCCAAAATTAAGTACAAAGGGAACATGACCCAAGAAAAAGTACAGATGATGAATGTCCCATGGCACAATATGAATAAATTTATCTTAAGTGTAATTTGGAGTTCCAGAAGGACAGCAGAAGGGAAGGAAAAAAATATTTAAAGAAGTAATCGCTGAATATTTTCCAATTTGATCTAAATTATAAAGTCACAGATAATTCCTGGTACCAAAAAAAAAAAAAAAAAAAAAAACCAGAGAGAGAGAGAGAGACATAGATGCAAATGTAAGAATGCAACAGATTTCATATCAGAAACTGAAAGCCAAAACAGTATACTGAGGGAGAACAACTATCAACCTAGAATGTACTTCAAAACTGAAAATTAAACAAACATTTTGTTCAAACACACAAAACCTGAAACAATGCTAGCAGACTTGCACTAAAATAAGTATTAAATAAAGTTATCCAAGAAGAATTAGAACTTCAGATGGAAATTTGAAGATAATTATTAAATAAATAAGCTGTTCTCATTTTAAAATTACTAAAAAAGACAACTGATAATACAAAATTATAGGTAGGAAGTTATATTATTAATGTAGCACAAATGTCAAGAACAAGGATTGGAATAACAGCAGTCTACACTCTCACAAGTCTCTTTCATTAAAAAGGAGATGGTATGTAATTGAAGGTAGATTGTGATAAGCTGACAATGTATACTGGCGACACTAAGCAAACACTTAAAAACTAAAATAAGAATCTATAGCTACTCACATGAGTGGAGGTCAATGAAATGCTTTTTTAAAAATCTTACTCTAAAAGAAGATAAAAGAACAAAGTGCAATGGGACAAATTTGAAAGCGAACTGAAAAATGGCCAGCTTCTATTGAACTATATCAAAAATCATAATGATTAATGACTCAGGCAGAGATTAAAGTTAGGCATGGTGATACACACCTGCAGTACCAGTACTCAGTAGGCTGAGGCAAGAGGATAGATGTGAGTTCCAGACTATCCTGAGCTACACAGCGTGAATTACATAACAAGACTCTGTCTCCAAAAATAAATAAATAAATAAATAAGTAAATAAATAAATAAATAAATAAATAAAAAGGCAGAGGAGATCAAACAGACTTGAAGTACAGCTCTATGTATAGGTCATCTACACAGAGCACACTTTTGTACAGTACAGTATAGATCACAGAGAGGAGAAAGAATGGGAACAGATACACTATGCTCACAGTAATAAAAAAATAGAAATGGCTGTGATTGATAACAGATGAAACAGATTTCAGAATAAGGAATATTGCTGGACGTGGTGAGGCACACCTATAATCCCACTACTCAGCAGGCTGAGGCTACATAGTGACTTAAAGACCAGCTTACACTACACAGTGAGACCCTGATTTGAAAAATAAAAGGAATATTTCTGGGAATAGTGGCACATGTCAATAATCTCAGCACTTGAGAGGCTGATGCAGGAGAACACCATGAGTTTGAGGCCAGCCTGGGCTACCCAGCAAGTTCAAGGCCAGCCTGAACCACATAGTTACACCTTGTTTCAGAAAAAACAAAAAAGAAAGAAAGTAAGTAAGAATTACCCAAGGCAAGGAGAACATTTCATATTAATGAGTTTGCATCTGGAAGAAAAATAAGAATCCTAAGTGGATAATGTTTCAAAATATACAAAAGACAAAAACAGACAACTCCACAAGTATAGGAGATTTCATAACTGTCCTCTTAGTAGAACTAAGAATTCTTGATAGAATGCAGAGACATAAAATCAGAAAGGATATAGAAGGTAAACCAAAGAGCCAACCAACTTCTTGTTCTAAGAATGCTTTAGAAGATCCCACACAATGGCAGAGTGCACATTCTCAAAGCACATGTGGGTCATTCACTATATTCTGGGCCAGGCCACATATCTAAATCAATACAAAAGGATGGAAGCATAGAAAGCATGTTCTCTGATTTACAACACATTTAAAATGAAATTAATAACAGAAAGATACCTGGGAAACCCATTTGAAAATTACACAAAACAATTCTAACTAACTCATGTCAAAAAATTAATTACAGCTTGCTGACCACCTTCTCCCCACCCAGAGGGCACGCCGCAGTTGCCCCACCTGGAGGAGGGAGCTGAGCCGAGCCACAGGAACCTGCTACGGCCTTGCCTGCAACCTTCTCTTAGCCTGGAGAGCACCAGCACTACTACCACCACCTGGAGGAGGGAGCAGCTTTGCAGAGAAGGTTTGATGCCTACCTCGGCCATAGGGGTGACCTTCTATCAGCCCTGGTAGCTTTGCCACCCAAGTAGGTGGATAGTTACACAACATCTGATCCCCGGGAGAGTATGAGATCCTAGCTGTAGGTGGTTGGGGGCCCACTGGGCTTGTGGCACACTAGATTAGGCTTAACAGGATTCGGACCCACTTGAACCATGCCTGATGGCCTTCTTTCCATCCAGAGAGCTTTGTTGCCAGACGGGGAGCTGTGTAGCTTGAGAAGGCTTTAGGCCTACCTAAGATGAGCCTGGCAACCTTCTTTTAATCCAGGGGCCTAACTGCCCAAGAAGGGAGCTATGCTACCAGAGGAGTCCCAGGAGCTCAGGACATAGGAGGTAATTTCCAACACACCCAGGGGAAGCTTTGGAATAACACTTGAAACATGGAAATATAGGAAAATGACAAAACAAAAGACCAAAATGCAGTCTCGAACATCCAGCCCATCCCAAGAAAGCCTAGGAGCCACATACACAGAAGAAAATACATGCCATATGCCTGAAATACCTGAAATAATAGTAACTGAAATAAAGAAGCTACTCAAGGAAGCTTTAAAGGAATTCAAATGAGAAATAATCTTCCAGGTAAAAGAAGAAATGATAAAAGAAATGAAAGAGATGCTGAACACATCTAAAGAAGACACAGTTAAAAAATCAGAGGAACAAACAAAAAGATAGAGTCCCTGGATGAACAATATAAGAAACAAACAGAATACATAAAGCAGATTCAAAGAGATATACAGGAAATCAAAAATTTCATTGAAAGTTGTAAAAACCACCTCAATGAAAGTGAAGATAGAATTTCAGATCTTGAAGACAGGATTGCAGCTAGTGAACAGGA